AAAATATTTTAAATTTTTTCCTTAATTTGTAAGGCACTGGGAAGTTGACTAAAACAACATACTGAGATTTATTAGCTTTTTTTTTAAATTATCCACAACACTTTCTACTGTACAATAATAACATTATCATGTCTCTTTTTACAAATTATATTTCGATATGCGCATAATTTTCATTTATTGCTCCTAATTCTTCCGATGGCTGTAACTTCTGCCCGTCATCGAATATTCCATAAGCCTAATGTTAATACTAAAAGTGACTGTGAGTGAAGTATTTAACATTCAGGCGGTTGGAAACAAATACAATAAGCTTTTTTGTGTAAAAAAATCTTTTTTAATTGTTTTCCTTTCGTTTGGTATTGAATTTTTTCAATTAATTGCTAGCAAGATACCGACAATTTTTTTTCTATAACTCTTCTTTGAATTATTAACATTGTACTTGCTCACATGTTTGATGCCCTAAGTACAAAACCACAAAACATCCATTTAATATAAACGTCATTTTTACTAATGTCGTTTCTACCAAATATACATTATCATATATTACACAGAAATATACAATATTTTAGTTCTCTATTTATTAGCTAACCTTTGTATTCTAATTTTTAAAATAGGTTTGCGTGCGGCAAGAAAAAACCATTAAATAATTAACCAAGACACAAATATACCTTCCGTTAATCGAAAGTCTGTTGTCTCCCTTTCGCACAAAATTAAAGCAATTATAGTTAATAAGAACTATATTGGACAATTAAAATACGAGTGTTCACAATACTATGTCAATAATTCTGAATTGGTTGGTATCTCGATATACATTTTTAAATTTAAACATCTAAGTAATGTACCCGTTTCACTAATTCCATAAAAAAATTGTGAACGTAGGGAATATTCTGGAAATGTTTGTGGCGATAAAAAAATAAAGCAATAAGCAATGCTTTTACAAAAGATAGTTCAGAAATAAGGTTAGGAGATACATCTGTTTATATCAATCTTAACTTTTTAAGACTAGATTCTACACTAGACTAGACTTGTGAGATCAATTCGAAAGCCAATTTTCTCAAATGTTGGTAAATTTTACAATTTAAATTACATTCCTTATTCGAAATTCACTGTTACACTTAAACTCTAATTAAAATAAACGTACACTATAACTTATTTAAATGGCGGTATGGCGCATAAAACACATAATTTTATCGAAAATAATGTCAGCTGATGACTATGACATTTGTTGGTGATTTGTTTCAGGGACTAATTTACTTTAAGTAATTATTTCATTATATTCAGCAATATCATTACGGGGTACAGTAACCGAATGATTTGTGTAAACTAACTTCTGTCAACAAAGGAACCATGTTAAATTTCATGAATGAAGAAATACGCATGTCTCAATTTAATGAGACATTCATATTTCTTGTTATTTAAGAAAATTTTAATAGAAATTATGATTAGGTACACGTATCTCTTTCTTTTTCTATTATAATTATAACTAAATATATATATATATATATATGCCGTAACACTACTAAAATATCTACGTAAAGATAAAGTACAAAACTTATATACTGCTAACAATATTGCAAAATTGTCCCTCCTATATTGCGTGACGCTTTCTTACACTTACTGCTCCTACAATTACTCGAATTTGTATCTCAATCGTGCTCTGATTTGCCATATCGCAAATTTAACCGTACAATGTCCTTATCTATATCACGTATTAAGTGAATATACTAACTTTTATGTGTATATGCATGTATTAGGAATGCAAAGTCCAAGAATTTAAGGAAGGAAAAATAATGTAATGTGGTTCCTACTAAGCCTACGTCTAACTTTTCTTTATTTATTCATGTTCAAGTCGTGTTAGCTATCAAAAGTAAAGTTTTTTTTAATACATGGCACAATGTTAAAAAACCACCTAAAATGTACACACCTACATATTTTAATACAATTACTCTCTTATTTCAGTTAAGTACCTCAGTGGAATTTTATCTTTCGAAATCGTAAAAAATTTCTCATACCTCAAAAATGTTTCACATTAAAAAACATGCTATTTTCAGGTCGAATCCAGGGAACAGTAAAACTGATTTTTTTTGTGCTGTCAGTTATCGAAATGTTGCCTAAGCGTAAGTTTTTGTACATATTTCAGGAAGATAAGGACATCATGCCAGACCTTAACTTAATATCAGAATTGTCACTCGATACTACTATGTTTTAGCATAAATAAGTTAGATAAAACCGAAAATCGATAAAAAAACAACAATCCAAACCTCTAAGATACAATTATCCTGGGACTAGAATGTTTGTTTATATAATATTGATTTGTAAATATAAATACATTGCAAAATAATGCCCTTTAGTTTAAACACGTCAACCAAACAATTTTCCCTAACAATTCGTGGAACATAATTACGGGTTTGTTATTTTTCTTTTTTTTATCAAACTTCACTGAAATACTGCTTACATGTTCATAACATTGATACACATCACGTGTATCAATGCTATGGACATATAAGCTTATTGTTCTATATAAAAGTAGTGGTTCCTGATAATTGGTAAAATACGTGAATTGCAATACGATTGCATTCTATATCTCTTTTATGTTATTTCCGTTGAATAAATAAATAAATAAAGCTCTTTGCAATATTAAACTTTTTAGGTAACTTTAGGTAACTGGTAACTAGGTCATATTATTTCAATTTCTTGCATTTAGGCGAATATGGAAAAAAATCAATAATGTACTTTATTTTTATTTAGTTTTTTTACCAAGGTCGTACCTACGATGTTCCCGAAAAAAAATTTTTTTCTCTGCATTGCTAACTTCATAGTATCGAGTAATGATGCTGATCTATTCCTCGCAATTCCCTTACAACGCTTACACAACCATCCGAATAGCGATTTAGTGGAATAAAATGTCTTAGGATTATCTTACAACTAATAAAGTATTTGGTTAAGTACGTTTATTTTTACAACTCTTCACCTCCTCGTCATTATATGACTGATACTTTTCAATGATACAACTACATAAGAGGTCAACCTATAAACAATATAATTTTTTTTTTAGAAAATAAAATGGGGAAGCAAAAATAAACAATAACGAATGTTATTTATCTGTCCTAAAATTCGATAATAATAAAAGTTTTTGTGTTTATTGACGGTATAAATTAAAAGAATATATTAATATGTTATATATGATAAGGTTGATAGAGTACTGTACTAACGGTACTGTACTGTACTAACTGTACATAACGGTATAAAAGAGTGGAATAATTAGTCATTGACGTATAATGTACTGTTTTTTTTTTAATATTATTTGAAAGATACTACAGTCAGCGCCGACGATCAGAGTGGCAAAGACAACGTTAATTAGCAAATAAAACCTTTAAATCTCAAAACGTATTCAAAGTCTTGTCTGTGAGTAAAATATAGAAAATATATATCTATCACATTATTCACATATTTTCCCACTTCGCTTCAAAAAAACGCTCTATGAAATGAAAGTTACAGGCCAGACAGCGATCTTAACAAATTAAAAATAGGCAAAAAATAATACACGTTGCTACTACTTACGTAGTAAAATACTTACAAATCGTAATTTCTCTTATATCACTATAATATAACACATTTATTAAAAACTATTTAAGGGTTTTTGGTGGGTTATTTTAGTTTTAAACTGCCGTAGTTTTGAATACTTAACAGGTTCCTAACAATGCTTGCTGTTATGTTTTCTAAACGTTGAGAGTATAAGCCGCAAAAAACTCAACACATTAGTTTTATTAAGTAGTTACAAATCTATGTTAATGTAGCTTACATACTTACCTAAGTACAAAAATAACATTCCACGACTATTTATACAAGTTATAAAATGACTAGATTCCTCATCCATAATTATTTTACATTTTTGACTAAAATACGAAAACAAAGGAATTAAAGCAACAAAGAACTTATAACTTAAACATTATAATTAACATATTTTGTAGTTTTGAGTAGTATACCACATTTGCCTACGATTATATAATTTGCATTTTGGTCTTATGATTTGACAATGTAGTTAGTCTCTTTACATTAACATTTGATGTAAAAATTATCAAATTGATTAAGAAAAAGAAGAAAAAAAATTTTTTTTGAAGACAAATTTACCAGGAATCGAAGCTGAATCCATAGTCTACAATTGTAGTTACGCATGTAAACTTAGCTTATATTGTATCTAGGTATCGTAACACCAACACCAGTTTTAAAATGAAATAATTTATACCTTTATTGAAAGTTTTGACGAAGGTTTGTCATTTAAGGAAATCAAAATTCTTGCAAGAAGCTTCTGTTTTTTTACCGTGTTATTTTTCTTACAATGATTTACTAAAATGTGAAGTATTCTAGGCTCAATACGTGAATTATCTACGTCGTTTGTTTGTTGGCAAATTTCCCTAATAAAATGTCTAATGACATTAACCTTCTCTTCACGTATTTTATTCCGTGTTCAATAAAACCTGCGAGTTCAAGTCCAGACGTCTTCCTACGCATGAACGAGTTGTAAAAAGAGGCACTACGAATAAATATTCTGGTAAAAAGGACCGGACGGATTGTGTTTGAATTATTGTTAATAAATCATTCTGACCTATTCCCGTGTTGTGATGCGATACTATTCCTTTTGTCGCGAAACGAGTAAAAGTGGCTGGAAACGATCTATTGAGGCGTGCTACACTGTTGCTTCGGTGAACGAATATGATAACGAGCTGTTCTTAGACGCGGTTTAAATCTCAAAACTTCAGCCTGACCGTGTCGCGGAGAGAGCCCTCGGCGAACCATCAGGATGGAACTAACACACGGCGCGGTCGCGGAAGATTGCGCGGCTAATGCGTTAATGCAGATGCATCTTGGGTTTGTTAGTGGGTACCTGTTCGGTCCGGGGCTCTCGCGTACCCCTGCCACTCGCCGTGCGGCAGGGGATCCCTAAAGGATTTCCCTGGTTAAAAAAAAGTTCGGAACTAACTGATCGGCGCGAGCGCTACTCAGGTGCACAGGCCGGAGTTGTCGACCAGCGACCGGGCGAGCACGTCGGCCGCCGCGATGTCGCCCACCTTGCCCTCGAAGTGACCCCTGACGTGGAACATGAACTCCGCCTTCCCGGCGAACTCCTGTCTGCACATGAGGCACAGGTGGTGCGCGTGCGAGTGCTGCCTCTCGGGCGCGTAGTGGCCGTGCCCGTGGCTGAAGTACGCGCCGCCGGCCCCGCCCCCGCCCCCCTCGTTGACCACTGTAGAAGTCGACACGGAAGCCGTGGCGATCCCGTGGCCGTTCAGTATCTGCTGGTTCTGGTTGTGGTGGTGCAGGAGCTGCAGCTTCTCCTGGTTCGTGAGGTGCACCTTCTCCTGCTGTTGCTGGAGACGGAGACAACGATTTTTAACGTCACTCGTGTCATATAATAACAGTATTTTGACTATCAATAAGTGAGTTCGATGCAATCTTGTTGAATAAAGATATTCGAATTTGAATTTGAATTGATAGTTCAAACAGTAATAGTTCAGATAGTTCAACCAGTTTACTATAAGTTTTAATTTTAGTAATAGTCTATGCACTTAAGATGAATAATTTGAATCGCTGCGTGGTTCAAAACTGCGTATTGCACCCAAATGCTTTATTAAACACTGAGATATTCGGCTGATATACGGTGATTTGAGCAAACTTTAATCCAACTAGCTTTCACCTACGGTTGTCATCGTTTTTCTATAAACGTAACACTTCATTTTACTTAATGTAACATACTGTATGTGAAAATTAAAGCATAATTATCAGATTATCTGTAATCTATATTACATTTAAATCCGTTCAGTTGTTGCGAAGTGAAGAGTGATTATAGACACTACGATTAATGTTAAATGTCTTTGTGTAATTTGTCAAACCTATTTATCCGCATAATACGCTATCAGGATGTAATGAGTGCAGCTCGATAAAAATGTATGAATTCAAAAATTTCTGAATCTGCTTTTACTTAATGCATTGTAAATGTTAAATTAGTAAGAATTGTAAAGAATTAAAAATGTTAATTAACAATTAATTTCTTGATTATGAAATAATTAAAATAACTGACTTCCTTTTCTACCAACACGTAGGAATATTGGAGGGTTAGTAAAACCAAAGCTGTAGAACCTGATGCTGCCTATTTTAACGTGTTGGTGTTGCAAACTGTTAGGAGAGGCCATCTTACAAAGGATGACACTGATATAGATGTTAGCCAATGTCATTCAGACTAGTGGATATTAAGATTTCCGGTTCTCTGGTAATTTTAGGGATCCCATCGTGTTACCTGATGTTGCGAGGCCTGCTGCATCTTATCCTGAAGAAGCTTGTTGTCTGGCAAATGGGACTTGGCGTGCGCGCTCCACTCGTCACGCGTAGCAAACAGTCTGCCGCACAGCTCGCACGACCACGACACCACCATTCCAGCTGTTGCCGCCGCAACCGCGGTCGCCGCACTTGTGTGCACCAAGTTGGTGTTCTACAAAGGAAGCCGTGCAAGCTGGATCAGTCATATGACACTACCTCTTAGCAGCGTACTGGTAAATTCGAAGTTAGAGCGTAAGTACAAAAGGTCAATTGATAAAATGTTTTGCTGGTGTCGTTGCAAAAACGGACGTTAGATTCAAGTTAGAGTGCTTGCCAGTAAGAAGAAAAGAAGTGTTAAGTACATGTCATTAAAATCCTTTACTTCCAAATTGTGCTATTTTAGATTTCTAACCGTAAGCAGAATAAAAAAAAGTAATATTAAATAATATACTCTGTACGGAACAGACAATTTGTTAACTGAGATTATAATATACTCTAACGTAGTAACGTCTCCTTTCCTGGCAGTTTTTGAGACATGGACCAAATTTTTGATATACAGTTGACAAACAAAAATATCGGCAAAAGGTTTATATGTTATAAGGATGGTTAAAGCGGGAATATATTTATTGTGTATTCGTATCGGTACGTATATTGAAACATCAGGAGGTATCGATTTAAGCAGCTCCACGATTTTATTCTTCCCGATATGACTGACTGGTTTTCAATATGCCAATTAGGGTAGACAAGTTATAAAGTTCAAGCCAGATAAATTTGTTACATGGTGCTCGTGTCCACTAGGGTGACCAATGGGGTATGTCCAAAATCTATTCATTATGATGTACCATAAAATAACACTAACTACTTCTATTTTTGTAATGCCGATGGTGTACTGGTAATTAATATACGGTTTAACTTTCATCACCATGTCTGCCTGTCTGGTAAATACTGTAAAAAACCGGTCAAGTGCGAGTCGGACTCGCGCACGAAGGGTTCCGATGATCTATAAAAACGGCGAAAAAATCATGTCTGTTATATGAGCCCACTTAAATATTTTTTATTCAATTTTTTTAGTATTTGTTGTTATAGCGGTGATAGAAATACATCATCTGTGAAAATTTCAACTGTCTTACTATCGGGGTTCATGAGATACGGCCTGGTGACAGACGGACAGACAGACGACAGACAGACAGCCGCGCAGTCTTAGTAATATTAATTCAGAAGAGACTAATTCAGCACTGTTGCGCAGTAGTCAGGTATTATCGTCATTAAAGAGTAGCATGTTTACTTGCTATCGGGCGACGGACTTTAAAAAAAATAAAATGCATTTTATTTATTTAGGAATAACTATACAGGCTTTAACAATAATACGATCATTGAACTGTGTTGTGATTATTGTAGCTTAATACGAATGTAAGTTATTGGAATTATATAATGACTAATGCTGATATTTTGTCGAAAACTTAATATGAGAATGGATGGTACTGACAAAGTTCTCCCACTGTTCTACGTTCTAGTAATAAAGGTACTGTATGTATTTATACTAGCGTTACAACTTTTCTAATTAATAGCATATCTGAAATTGTTATTTTTTTAGTTCTCATCTCTGCGCTTAAGATGAAAGATATCATTACGTCAAATTTTTATACTTCACACATTTCTTAGATGTTCTCGCCTTCATGTGCTCGCTATGTTAAAATATTAAAAATACATACTTATAAGAAAAATTTTTAATCATTAATATTGTAAAGATTCGAAATAAAAACATTTTAACAAATAACAAGAGAACATGCAATCTGATGCATGAGATAGAAATGAAACATTTTAACGTCGCTAAAAATCAGCCATGCATTACATGTCGAAATATTTTAAATTGTTCTAAAAGTAGGAAAAGTTAAAAAGTCATGCTGCCAAGTGATGAAGAAAGACAATTATTTGTGGAACCCAAAACAGAATTTGTAAATTGAATGGCCACAATTGTAAGCTTGTTTAGTTTTTTAATTAGGGCTAAGGATACGATTTTACAAAGTCCGTATACAGAATTCATCGTCGTGTGTAAAATCAATAATTTTTAATACACGCAGCCCTACTCTGAATGTTTAACAAAAGATGAAACTAATTTAAATACTCGTCTTAATTATTTATTTGTAACTACGGAATTTTCGGACATTTTTCGAAAACTTTTGCACGTGCATTATTATCGAAAATCTAATAACTTCAACACATTTTTAATATGAAGTAAAAATAAATTTAAAGAATATATATATTACAATAGATAGAGAATAAGAATATGCATTCTTGGACATACATTGTACGAGAAAAGACCGTAGAGTAGCAACAATTCATGCATAATCAAGAACATCAAAAGACAATTTAGAAAGTAAACAATTTATTATGCAACTTATAACACATTATAACAGAAAACTAAAATCGTATCACGTCTACGTAGTTTTAGTCATGCGTTAAATGGTCAGTGAGATTTACCGTAAAGTTGTGCCCGGGTACCTGGCAGACCTGGATCGCTTGTTGGTGCGAGTGTTGTTGTTGTTGTTGTTGTTGCTGCTGCTGTTGCTGTTGCTGTTGTTGCTGCTGTTGTTGTTGCTGTTGCTGTTGTTGTTGAGCTACGGCAGCGATTTCTGCTTGGCTCGGCTTTGTGTCCTCTTGCTTCGTTAGTTGCGGTTTGACATCGTCCAGTTTTAATGCTGCGAGGAACGCGATTCACCTTATGACATTTATCTTTGTGAAATAGAAAAGTGATTTTGTATTGTCTTAGTAAAAATGAATTCGAGTATCATATTAAGAGTAAATTTTACTCCATCTCGTTGTGGGGTTTAACATCCCATTGTGACGTTTTCAGCGGACATAAACTACATAGGACAAACGTAAAAGAATTACGTAATTCTTAGTAATACACACACCAGTATTTGTCAGGGTTGGGAATCAAAACTACAGATTATTATTGTCTTAAAGTATCAGCCTATACATGTTCCACTGCTGGGCAAAGGCCTTCTCTGTACAGAGGGTATCAGGGCATAGTCCACCACGCGGACCCACTGCAGATTGGCGGACTTCACATATCTTCAAAATATTTTTTTTTGTTATTATTTTGAAATTATGCAGGTTTCCTCACGATTTATATGTAAGTAATTTATATATAAGATAATATCGATATTATTGTCATAGATAAAAGTATTTATAAATGTCAATTACGCCAATAATTGTTACGAAGTACCTGTATGATTTCTAATTATCTAAACACATACATACGACTTTGAGGACCATCCTACCAAGGTACTTAATTGATTATACCCCCTCATTATATTCGTCCGTGTATATAACATGCGTGATAAATATCTTATATTAATCAATTGCTACATGATTACATAATAATATTCCATTATGACAGTCGCATTGCCGCAAGCATACGTGTAAGGGTGACTGGCATTTTTTCAATCTGTGTTAATCCACATTAATACACGACATATAAAACAAATAATAAGATTGCGCACATGTTTTCCTTTTGAATGTTTCCTTATGATACTTACGTGGTATCGAAATGGACCGCTTACCCAAAGGGGCTATGTTCGATGGCGTGATGTGCTTCAGCTTGTTCATGTGAAGAACTAGTTTGTCACGGCGAGCGAACGCCTTGTTGCAGACCTCGCAGACGTAAGGTTTTTCCCCTTGACAAAACAATTATAATTTCTTAACTAATATTCTGATTAGTTATTTATGTAAATATTAATTCTAATGAAACTAGTCAACTGTTTCTATATTCAATACACTTTTTTAATGACATGAACATGAACTAATGAAAATAAACTATTGCGAACTTTACCTGTATGTATTCTCATATGTATTGTTAGTTTATCCTTCCTCGCTAATCCTTTACCGCATACCGTACACTCAAATGCCTTGCTTCCTGTAAATTTATACAATATTAGGTAACTTAAACTTACACTTTAAATAATATTAGATAAAATTGTAGATGTAACATAAAAAATCAAATACATTTGAAAGAACACGAATTTGATCATTCGTGACATTTTTGTTACATGATTATGGTTATGAAATGCGGTCATGTAAGTGGAAAATAGAATTCAAAATTAGCCATAATAAAAAGTAAATGGGGGAGGCCTATGTTCGGCAGATGATTCAAACAGGCTAAAATGATGATGATGAAAAGTAAAAAATATACATTACAACCCGACCAGAATAATATAAAACCGGCCCTCGGGCCACATTCGTTTTTTCATTGCTGTTATAATTGATGGGCAGAATAAATTTTCCATCAGTTCCATAATGCGGAGAGATTTATTATTTTCCCGGTCAGGCTGTACCGCGATTATATTTTTTTAGCGCACTTATATTGCACGAGTCCTTCACATTTTACCTTCGTTAGTTGAACTCGTCGGTTTTATGGCGGGATGTTTCCTTACAGCGCTGGTCTGTAACGCCTTGAGCCTGGTACCAGGATGCATGGAACCACCTTCAGCATACGGCTCCGTAAACGGTATGAGGTTGGGCCTAGGGATGGTGTTCGTCACTTCCGGTGACCTGCGACATTTGATTTGCTAATAAACTATCGAGTTATTTGTATACTAATCATGTTATAATTGTTTAAAAAATAAATTTAAAACAAATTAGATTTAATATTAGCTGCTGTATTAGACTAACGACCACTTATTAAGTTCAATCTTATATCACAAGATGAGACTTTAACAAGTGATTAAGACTAAATGCAAATGATAATCTAATTTATTAGTAATTACTTTCTAATTTTAAATGTAATTAAGACTCATTTCATATATTAAAGTCTGTCAAAAGGTTTATGCTGTAGTGAGCAAAAGAGAACATATACAAACGCTTGAAATATTAAAACACAAAATGATAATGGAACCTAATAAATAATAAGAAACTAGCACGTTTTGTTAATACGTAAATTCTATGTAAACTAGGCAACTGTCTATAAGCAGGTTTATGAGCTATCAGTTGGAAATTTACCAATTGCCGAGACTTTGCAGCACACGGACGCCGCCCTCGAAGCCCATGCCGACGTCATCCGGCACCGTGAAGGTGCTGTCGGGTCCACCTGTGCTAGAGCTGACCACCGGGACCTTGATTGGTGAGTTCATGCTTGCATAATGCTGGGTTGAGGTAACCGTCGGCGGTGAGGGGTGGCCTTGGTGAGCGCTGCTCGGGTTTTGAGCCTGCTGCAGAGAAAAGGCATGCTATCTTTATGCTAATGTCGTCAGAAGTACGAGCTTTGGTTCAGCCTCGTAGCAGCGACTGCTGTTGCAATAATGTGAACGCTCGACCGCGAAAGTACCACGGCCTTGCGCAAGATCGATGTGAAGAGGAAGTATCTGCGCTTCTGCATTTCGTCTGGTGAATTTGCCAGCCACATCGGTATCGTAAATAATCGTCCATAGTAAGTGGGAATTACGTAATATTAAGTGAACAACCTGCTCGCTTGCCACCTTTTCACATAAAAGTTCGTTTGAAATATATAATAACAGTCATTTGTAAATAAGCGATACATATTACAGTCGGTGTTGCTACGCAACCTCTTTTTTATGGGAGGAAGTGAGAAGTGAGCGGGTGATTCACCTGACATTAAGTGATAGCCGCCACCCATTGACGTTGCCACTTTACTAGGGCAGCCAGCCCACAGTGGGCTCCACCTACCTCACTCACTAGACGAAACGCAGAAGTATAATATTTCCACTCGCCGGTGTTCTATGAGGTCGTAGTACTTACCCCGGTGGACCTGCCCATTCGTGCAACAGCGAAGACTGTTGCGTGGCCCTACAACAGATGTTGTGAATTTTGTTGGTTGTCATCAAACACACATATATTAGTGAGAATTTCAAAAATAAGTCATAGAAAACATTTCTTTCAAAAATAAGTCATAGAAAACATTTCTTTCATAAATATAATTTCAGTTTATACCCAGAAAGTATTAAACATACGCCATTATTACGCCCTAATTACTCTTTCATTTGCGAAAAGCGTTGCGAATAATCCATTTTTCACTCAAATTAAATAAATATGCTACCGTCATTTCAAACCCCTTTTCATTGGAACTTATTTAAAATACAAGTGATATTGGATAGGGTAGTTTTTTGTACCTCATATTTTTTAAACACTGCTAACAAAAGTAATCATTAAAATTCTATAACTTTATTATCTATAGCAACTGTTGTTTGTCCAATTATTTAATTAATTAAGTAGAGCTAATTCTAGTACGACATATGAAACCACCACCAAACCAGAGGAAATAATTATTTAAATTTAAAGAAAAGTTGTTTTCCAACAATTATACCTATATAAATTCATGTAAATATGTAAGCTAACCTATATAAATTAATATTAGTGAACCCAATTCCAATTTCATATCCGATTGCTTGCGTGCACTTACTTGCATTTCTTGATGATGACGATTTGTGTTAGTTGAAGCATTACTTTGTTGCTGGTGTTGTTGATGTTGTTGTTGCTGTTGCTGCTGTTGTTGTTGCTGTTGCTGCTGTTGTTGCTGCTGCTGCTGCTGCTGCTGCTGTTGTTGCTGCTGCTGCTGTTGCTGCTGCTGTTGTTGCTGCTGCTGTTGTTGCTGTTGTTGTTGCTGTTGTTGTTGTTGCTGTTGCTGTTGTTGTTGCTGTTGTTGTTGCTGTTGTTGCTGTTGCTGCTCACGACGAGCAGCAGCGGCAGCTTGGGCCATATGCTGTTGAACGGCCACATGCGCTTCTAGGTACGCGGTCTTCTGCGCCTCCGTCATCTTATCCATGTTCACTGTGCCATCCTGTGGAACGTAGATAGAGAAAACGTTGACGTACGAATTCAATTGAACTTATATGATACATTCATAACATTATATGAGTTTATTGTTTTTCTCTTCACGCCGATTTGAATAAAATTTTTAATAGATATGGCGTATACGATATTTATTTATTTATTTACTCATAGTGTCCCAAATCAGAGTGAGAACAAATTTAAATTTTAATACAACAATGTTATGTCCAAGTATGTGAATAAAGCATTTACTCAAATATTTCAGAAAGCTATAGAATTTATTTTATATAATAGAAGAGAGACAAAAAAGTATTTGTGATCAAACATGAAGATCAGGCAACTAACAAACGAGGTCTTGTGTCTTGTTCTTCATGTCTTATGGTGTCTTACTTTGGGGTTACAGCATATGATTTAGACGCGATATTTGTGATGCAAAAGCAAGCGATACGCGCTATGGCTTCCGTCCACGTGAGTCCCTTCGGCATATTTCTAAGCAAACGTCTTAAAGCTGCCGTCGCTATACATACTCGAGAACATCATGTATGCACGAAATAACATACACCTTTTTTTTTACAAAAAAAACATAAAGAGTCTGTGGAAATGACTCATGCTCTGCAATAGCAACTCCCGTGGCTCCTGTTAACTTTATACTTAAATACTTTTGTGTATATACTTACATAATTCAAAGAAAAAGAAAGAATGCAGAGTTTCAGATGGCAGGTCTAGTTAAGTGACCCGGTAGTAGGTTTTTGGCGTTCAATAAGAGCTTAAAATAAGCCTATATTGAATAAAGTAATTTTGACTTTGGCTCTGACTTTGGAACATGGTAAAGGTATAATTTAAAAGGTTTGGTTATAAACCAATTAGCATGAAGAGATCGTCACCTAAAATATCTAGCACAGTATGTTTTAGAACCAGGGAGTTATAATTGCGGCTAATTCTATATAGAGGTTTGTTAAAACGTTAAGATTAGTTGGAGCATAAATTAATTCACAATTCCTTAAGTTACGCAAGGGTATATAATCTAATATTTTACATTATACAGGATATATTAATTTTAATCTAAGTATACTAAAGAAAAATAAAGTTTCGAAACGAAAGACAAAGGCGCGGTCAAAGCCGTGACTAAAAACGTAATAGGCAAAAACTTTAAGGCAAATCAAAACAAATATTTAAGTCTAAATATTTGTGTACATAAACCATTTTCATTTCGGCGTTTTTACAGCAAGGGCCGTAGCCTTCGACGGGTGTCTTCCATGCGGTCGGGGCCTCCCTAAGTCGCGTAAGGGTGGCCGCCCCCGCAGTGCATTCACCCCAGAAAACGAGAACGGCTCCCCAGTTCCGTCGGCTCTCATTCCGTAACACGTAACCAGAACACCCCATGCTTAATTGCCCAAATTCGACACGGGGAAAGTTCAACGACCTCGCGAATCTCGGAAAGGAGCCGACGCGACGAAAGTCTTGTGTTTTCCGTAACTGAGGGTCTTGATATAGTTTGGTAGAGGGTGAAATTATCGCCCAAATGCATCTCGAGCATTATACAATATGAACGAGGTTTTCCGATTAATATCTGACAATTTCTTGAAAAATAAAATTCAAAAAATATTATTCCAAGAAATAGTATTATATTGGGGATATTTATTTGTAAAAATAATATTAGTATTATTATTATTATTAAATATACTTTATTGTACACTATAAAGAATTTAATAAAATTAATAAAAAAACATTTTAGGTAGGTATTATTTCATATTTTCTATATTTTTAATTATTATAGTTATCATATTCATTTTCATTTTTCATGCATAAAAGACATAAAATCTTTACGAATACATACAACATATGTTGCTGATGATGTAAATAAATACAATGTTAATGCAGAGAATGCAATTTTTCCTACCACAGGAAATGACGGAATAACATTCGCGACGAAATAAAAGAAACTTTTAACAATGAATATAAATGAAACCTCCATGAATTTGATATTTAAATTTGATTAATTTGAATGGTTTTCTTTAACGATGAAACCGGCAGATGTATTGTTCAAGCAAGGGGCGCCCCTCGCTGATAAGAGGCACCCATCGGCTTGGCAACTCTTATCACACGCGCGCTGATTAAACGCAAACGCTTTGAAAGTGGGGTTTGCATGCTTGCGCTGGGGTTACGCAAGCGGGGTAAAAACCACGATGGATCGTTATAAATCGTAGCGTCACGAATTGAGACACGACATGACATGACGGTTTAGCGATAAAATTAAAAAATATTTCATTAGTAAATATCAAAAGATACTTCGTAATTTAACTCACAACACATCACCATTGATGGCGGCAAAATTTCATTTACAATGTTAATGAAAACGACAATGTGAAGTAACAATTAAAAGTTATGATAGAAAAAAAACTTACTGTGTATTACAAATTCGCCAATGTCGCGTTGCGAACGATCGTTGGCAGTATTAATTTGCATGAAAAAATGTCACGGAGCACTACAAAAACGAAATCGTCAGCTCGATTCGCGCACTGTCTGTCTTCTAGGTGGAAAATGGGGGCTACGTGAAACGGCAGGCCATGTCTTCGCTGTCAAAGCGGGCGCTCCCCGCGCTTTCTATGTGCCGAGTGCAGCCTCTTGATCAAGGGAGCCCTGTGCATCGATCGCTCGCACTTTCCTCAACGCGTGCACCTGAACTTCAAACGCGCTCCGTGAACCGCGCCGCCTTTAGAACGGGGTGCGTCTGACAAGGCAACTTCCATCCGAAGCGTTTCTAACAACGGCACAACTTATATATTGTACTTTCTTATCTATCGTTTATTGTTTACACCACAACATGAGGTCAAATAAAAAACAAACTTAATGCTAATAAGAATTCTCTTCCAGTCAACCCTGGGAGTAGTGAAAATGATACTCATTTTCACTTTGAATGTTATTAGACTTTATTGTATCGTTTACGTTTACTATGATTTTGAATCACTGTTTAAGTCTACAAATATATATGTATAATATTTTACATGTTAAATATAAAGGTTATAGTTATTAATTTATATTAGAAACTTAAGTGCTTCGGAATATAAATTTATTTGTAACAAAATTGCAGTTTGTATAACGATTGTATTGAACGAAGATTAACTTATTCAGAAGCCTTTTATCTACTGGTACTGAATTTCTTGAATTGATAAAAGCTTCAGATAGATATTTTCCAAACAAAGATTTGCTTATTGGTGCAGAAACTTCGCAGGGTTTATTTATATTATAATTTTCGTTATATATTCGGAACCAAAACATATTACTTGTCAGTACAGTGTGTTTTGGTTGATGTTTCTTATCCACGGCCTACCCGCGTGGGTTCCTTTGATATTCACGGAGTATGTTAGACCTTATACGTTATTGTTTAGCAAAAGGTAGTCAACAAACGCGCAAACTTTAGAATAAACCATAATAGCGCAATTTGGCATAAAGGAGATATTCCATTGCCATCGTTGTCTAAAAGTGGACGGTTCTCAAGTGTCTAGACTGTCGCTTGTAGACGGGCCTAGGCTATATTTAGTGCATCCATCAGTGCATGCTACGAGCGGGGAAGGCTTCAAACGTTTCAGTGCAAGTGCTGTTCAGGCGGGGTTGTGGGCCCCAGCGGGTGGGGGCGGCTGTAGTAGGAATATCCTTCACCTCCCGCCCTAGGTCAGGGTTAAATTCACCCCCGGGCCGTGACGGTGAGCCCCCGACCTTGGATCCGATGCGTGTTAATGCACTTGCATTTCTGCTCACCTCGCCGCCACCACGCTGTAGTGTATAGTTTGTATAGTACGGTCACTACAAGTCTGTAGTACGTTATGTTCGTTTATTATGGGCGCGATAAAAATTCAATTGTTAATAATGAATATAGGAAGCAGTTAACCCGAAACGAAAGGTCATTTTTGGTTACGTCCAAACTTGTGTTCCGCGTCTCGCCTGGTGGATTTTCCCCACTTATTGATTTTCGAGTCGTGAATAATAGATGCGTCTCGAAACAAAAAAAAAGAGTAAGTATTCCGGGACATGCGTGGCTGGTGCAGAAATTCCGATACAGTTCGCGCAACGCACCCCGAAGGCCTTATAACTATCAAGTTAGAGTAGACAATTCATAAACAGTTCGTCAACATCAAAGAAATGGCGAGGCGAGGAATAAAGACCCGTCCTGCGAAATTATTGGGTTCGGAATTGTGTGTCTCGCCTGTTTCGGCGAGTTGGACGTTGTTAACAGATTTCGAGAGCTATTCGTGTGGGATAAGAATTAAAATCGCTGTTTGGGTGCACAAGGGAGGTCGGCAGTGGGTCGATACGAGGCAGTCGCGTGGCGGATCGATACAGAGGGCCGCAGAGCCCGTCGGCGCGTCTCGGCGATCTTTTAACACAACAACAACAAATATAGCAGCTGGCATAATTTCTAAATACGACAAAAATCTTGTACGGATGAAGTACAAACGACGCGACGCTAGGAAGCCAATAAAAGACCGTTCTTCTTAGCGCTTTCTTAAAACTTTGAACGCCTTAATTGTGGGAACAGATTAAATTTCAGAACTGAAAGCCTTCCGAAAATAAAGAAGAATTAGAAAGTAATGGAGTTATTTAACTTTACTCAGGATAATATAAGAACGTAAAAGCTATTGTTTTCTGTATTTAAACGGTCTCACGGTTAAACTTAGAAACTTTTAACTTGTATCTATCATATAAATGAAAATTAATGTTCAACAGATGTTGGGGCCATACTATTGCAACTATTTCCCATTACACCGAAATGCTGTGATTATATAGATAAATACGTTGCAAATTTCACCTTCGTATGTTCTAAGCCAAACAATTATCTGATCCCATATATTGCGGAGGGTCGATATTTTGACACATATCGATAAAACACTCGATTGATCGAGTCGTACTTATCAATATATACGAAATTTATCTCTCCAATATTTTATCAATCTAGCGGGCTACATTTATATTAGATTTTTTTTCATACTTTTATTGAAATACCTTTAAAATTTTGTTCTATAATCTTTTTATTTCTGTTACGAATACATGAAACTTGTATCTAAAACAAGTTCTGTGTTATATTAATCACAACTCAGGTCTTGTATACAATAAAAGATAGTGATATTTATCAAATTCTTTACCAATATTATAAATAACAATCGACATAACTAATTAAGATTTTTTTTTGTTTAAAAGCGAATGCTCAAACTTGCGTGAAGTACTATAATTATTATATTACTTTCGCGTTTCGTCTATTGAGTGAGGTAACCAGGCGGTAAATTTTATGTAATTCTTTCAGTTGGTTTGAAGTTTACTATAAGATGACGCAAGAAGCTTCCAAAAATAAAAATTTCCAAAAAAAAAAAATTGTAAAGCATGTACGTTTCTTATTTATTATGAACGTATTTAAATATGCTTGAGAACCAAAATAAAATCTATTTCTCATCAATGTTTTTATTACAGTTTTTTGGAAAATCTTCTATTGCAAAGATATAAGTAATACCTATTCTGTTATAAATCTGAGATAATTTTCTGAGTGATATATATTAAAACAAAGTACTTCATTTTGATGACGATAGGACAGCCAACATCATCTCGTGTTGGAAAATACTACTTAACTGATAAAGCTTATTACAAACATAATTTAAATTGTAGAAGCTCTGAGGGAAATGAATGCTATAGAGTGAAACATCACTAAAATTAACCCATATCTGTACGCACGTAGTCGAAAAATTCCCCGCACTTCTTAATATAATATTTGCTAAAATATATCGACGGAGATGGGGTATGGGCCCCATGCCACCCTACCTCATATCTAAGGCGATGATTTCGCACCTAAGGAGCTCTGCTCTTAATCGAACTTAAGAACAAGAGTTGCTCCAATATTCCATTGATGATTTTTGAGCTTAAACTGAGTCAAATTTCAGTATCACTTCTTCCTCTTGCGTTATCCCAGCTGGGTAGGGTCGGCACAACACTTCAATCATGTTTCTATTCTTTGTCTTTTCTTTTTTTTTTTTTTTTGAATAAAAACATTGCCCTTACTTTAGGAAAACATTATCCTGTGTTGTAAGGACGTTTTACAAACATAAATTTCACGCGGACAAACACCCAGATGCGAAACAACTATCTGTGGATCACACAAATACTTGTCCGATGTGGGAATCGAACCCACGACCCCCGACGCCGAAGCCGATTAATGGTTATTGGCTCGCTTTTTTACGACGGCCTGCCTGACGTCATCCACTTTGGGAATAATCACCCAGATCCGCATCAATTACCTGTGGGTCACACAAATACTTGTCTCGCGTGGGAATCGAACCCATTAACCTATTTCCATTATCGTTTTGCGTTGACCGACAATATTATTCGACATAGCAGCTTAGCGAGAAATCGCATTATTCGTACTTGTTTCAGAAAAGCTATTTCTGATGTTCGTAATCTACTTAAAACCACACTTACATGTATAGATTGATGTATAGATTTCTCTTGACTCTTTCAACGTCACCGTTTGACTAGTTGCATGAGAGTTTTGTAAAATATTGAGAGCTGAAATAGAGGCTTTATAACGCTTATAACCAAATCCACTATTTGGAACTAAGTACCGAATGAGACCTAATAAAGTCTTGGAACTGTTAAAAAGTAGTCACCTGAAAGTTGATAGTTGACGTCACAATCCTCATCGACTCCGCGTAGTTCCTGAGCACGGAGTCAGTGCTGAGGCAGCTCTGGCGCCACTCGTAAAGCTGTTCCAGGCGAGTGACGCACCTCTCGCAGATCTTCTTCGGCAAGAAGTCGTCCTTGGATATCTGCTGGGTTGAGCACGGAAGCACTGCTTAGATAAGCCGTAATACGTCATCCTCCAATTTAAATTCTAATACCAGCTACTATCACTGCTAAGATGACGTGTTGAATTTCATCCTCTAATTTTATTTCTTACTAGATGTGTCCGCGACTCCGTCCGCGTGAAATTGAAAATAAATAAAATTTCTAAAATAAAAGTAAGATTAAGTTACTTCTTATTACATCGGCTACTTGATAGTGAAAAGCCCGTCGAAATCGGTCGTTTCAGAGATTAGCCGGAACAAACAGACAGACAGACAAACAAAAATTGTAAAAAAATATTTTTGTATGTGTACCGTGTATACATCCATATGTATAGAAGATTTTATTTATCAGCTATTATCCGAAATAAAATCACTAATGAGGAGCGGATCAAAGAAGCCCTTGTTAATCGTACTTATAAAGTAATATTTCCATTCCCAGCTCCGTAAAAATCCTTTCAAGCGTTGCTTTGAGAAGAGGAGGGTTATATAATAATCTTTTTTGCAATAAATCAAATCCCTTCCCTCCAACCATTGACACTGCAAATCGACCTAAATTATAAAATAGAGGTGTGCCCTTAATTTCATATAGTTAATTTTAAATAGTATAGTTTAATCGTTTAATGTTTGAACAGTTAAATGAAAGTGATAATACTTTATTGAAGACACCAATCTACAACGATCCTTTTAACGGTCTATACATTCCTACATGAAATAGAAGAAGTTTGTTACACTAAGCCTTTTGTTGTAATGACGTGAGTCCACAATATCGACTCAGTTAACTAGCTGTTATTAACTTTGGCACTATTGTGTTATGGTGTTTTATAGCATATAGTTTAGTTGCTAGAAAAATGTTTGCAAAATGATACAGACATTTAGGAGCATTAATACTAAATAAATTTATATTGTTAAATCTTTACAGGGATCTTTACCATGGCCTATTCTAATAGATTTTTTCTGACGCGGTAAAAAATGAAGACAACGATTTTATTTTAGACTCAGCGTTTTATTTTCAGTCTCTTATGTACACACATTAATAATAAATTTGTTGTAATTTTATCTGTTAATTTATATGTGCCGATCTGTAATGTATTTGATTTAGAAAATATTACATCCCTGAATTTATCGAAGTTTTCGATGAAGAGTTGAGTTCTATAAATATTTTTAGAATAAATAATAAACAAGAATTTTAACTGAAATTGAAATGAATATTTAAATGAAAATGGATAAAACCTATAATTCGAAAGTTATAAAATAACCATTTAAATTAATTATTTGTATTCCTTAAGCAGTTTATTGCTTTTGTTCCATATTAACTTTGATTCCAGTCTCTAGGAAGTTTAATTCGGAAATCTAAGGTGAGGGTTGATGCGAAGAATAAATGCCTTTATTGAATTCGAGCGCCATTTTCTTTCACTTGTGCTGTACGAGAGGCGAGCATAAAGGCCCATTTACACGGTGCAAGTTTCTTGCCTGTAGTATACAATTAAATTGAAGCAATAAATGAGTTGCATGGTCTAAACAGCACATAACATTCTTGCCTGTTGAACAAGACTTGCTTCAAGTTTTGTTTCAAAACTTTCCTTGGTGTAAACAGCACACACAATAATTTCTTAAGCAATTCTTGTATTCAATTGCATTCTCTCTTCCTTGGCAAAAATTTGTGCAATGAGTGAGGGTTTTTAATCATTGCTGTTCTTTTGAGGATAGAAATATTGAGAAAAGGTCGTAAAAAAAAAGTTGGATAAAAATATGAATAATAATATATGGATCATAATAAATAAATCTCAATGAAATATATTTAATCGGCATAATCTAACTTGAACACTTATTATTGAGCCATTTTTTTTAAAAAAACAGCCCTTTGTAAAACGTTCAACAATTGCCAACTTGAAGCAACACGCCAATAAATTGTACACGCACATACAAGCATGTGTTTAGACAAGTCAAAACTTGAAAGCAATAATCGCCTAAACATAATTGCATTGGTGTAAACAAAAGACCTTTGCAATTATTTCCTGTCAAGACTTGCATACAATAATCGCATTAAATTTTTTTTACTATATCTGCGTGTAAACTGTTGCTTACAATTCTTGATTGTCAATTATTGCGTGCAACTTATTGCATTCAATTATTGCTCTTGTATGTACAAGAAAATGGCATCGTGTAAATGGGCCTTAAATCTCCGCGCCGTTCAACAGGTATCGTGACTTCATTACCGCGGGTGTCGCCGTCCGTAGCGGGGCGTTGTAGCACGCATGCGCTACGTGGCTACGGCCACTCGCCGACGCGACACTCGTAGCCAACACTGCACTGACCTCGCAAAGGCTCTGTTTATATTATGGATGTCGATGGAATGCCAAATTCGACATCCACATTTCGCCTTCTACGTTCAAAGCTACTACATTAAATTTGATCGCTACGTACTTAGAGCACTACTCACCATAGTTGGTAAGCAGGTCCTGAGCTTGAAGAGGATCTGCCGCTGTTCGGACTCCTTGTCGAAGATGTGCAACCGAGGTCCGCTCTTGAGCGAGCACAGGCGGCAGAGGTCGGTGAACGCGGTGAAGTTGAGGTCCTCGGGCTCGGTCATCGCGAAGCACCTGATGAGGAGGTCGAGGAGGCAGGAGTTGTCCATGTGTACGGCGATATCGGGCGGCGGGTGACGGTCAGCGCCGCATGCCGGGTGCAGGCTCAGGGAGGCGTCACGCCACCGCTGCGTCCGGGGGGCACTGGGGCCGCCGATCGCCTCCCCTCTCCCTAGCCCCCGGCCCCCCCCCCGCCCTCGCTCCTCGACCCCCTTTGCCCCCCTCGCCGACGCCCCTTCGCGCGCCGTCGCCCGCACTCGGGGTGGCTCGGCCGCCCGCGCCGGAAAATGCGTGCCCAGCTTTCCTCAATGCCGACTGCAATCGCCGATTGTTCGTATCGTATTGATTGTGACGTCTTCGCCCGGCCGCGGCTCCGAATAATGACCTCGCAGATTGCTCATTCCATCTCGTTTCATCACTGTCTAATAGACCGTGATAGTTGGCAGAGTTCTTTGTTTAACATCGTAATAAGGCAAGTGTGATCAAACGGGTTGGAACAGTAGAAATTAAAGATACTTGTAAGATGTTTTACAGGATAGAAATTAGGCAAATTAAGAGATCGAACTTTTAATTTCATAATCCGAGGAATAGTTGGAGGATTAATTCTTTTACTACTCAAATAGTTTCGAATACTTTTCCTACTGTTCAGTAACAACATACACACATAAATTTCGAATAATAATTATGTACATTTATTAGGCAGAAACAAATATGATACACAACAATTTCACAATACACAAATGTAAAAAGGTCGTATGCGATTAAAATTGAACTGTCCACAAAGAGTAAAAAAAATCCTGATATGTCACACAAAGGAAACTGTCGCTAAATAGGTATAGCATCACTTAAAAATTTCATGTCGCACAATGTCGATAGAATCATCGGACTCAGAGGCGGAATATCATTCGTATTCTGAGCGAACTTTAGCAATTATCAAGCCAGAGGCTTACGAAGATGCCGAGGCGATAGAAAATCACATTAGGAACCATGGTTTTTCAATACTAGCGGTAAGTATTTCCATTTAATTCGCTACGATAACTCATTTTATCCTTATGATCAAATTGTGCCCTCTTAATTTGAAAATAAATGCAATTTTATTTGCTATTTGTATAGCCTATATTATGATGCGACTTGGATGTGACGTACATAATATGGCAAATTGACAGTAATAGATTGATTTGTTCTGCTATGCGAGTAACGATAAATATTCTTTTATGTGATAAATATTCTATTATATGTGCATTTGAATTAGTTTTCTAACTGTACAAATTAAATAAACATGAACTTTAATGTTATTATTATTATCACTTTTAAAATGAAAAATGCTGAACCAAACAACAAAATACCTACAATTTTGAAAACTCCATTCCACTTTGGGGTATACGCGTAGGGAGGAGGAGTTGGGGGTGTAGACAACCCCATTTTATAAAAATAAGTCAAAAAGATTAAACGAACAGTTATAAAAACCTCAGGTGTCTTTCGTATAGTGTTATTTTTATTTTTACCAATATTATGTTATAAAACACCTATCTTTGTGCGATAATTTCAGAAGCATCTATTTTGGTTTTATGCATTATACCATGATTACAATTTCAATCTATTTGTCTCAATAACCTCATAATACAAGGTTACATTAGCAAATAGAACGCATTACGGAATTCCTATGAAAGATTACACACAAGTTATGTTATATGAGTTACAAACAAGTATCTACATATTTTTTAACAAAAAATAACCGACTACAAACCGAAGGCTAAAAAACATTGTTAAAACCTATAACATTTGAGGATTGCCATCGATTTCTCTGGGATGTCATCGAGAGATCCGGGTTTCCTTATCATGGTATCACCCTTTTGATATCTCCTTTCCAAACAAAAAAAGAACCATCAAATAGGTTCATAAACGACGAAGTTATCCACGAACATACATAAAAAATTCCACATTCTTTTTTGAAGTCGGTTAAAAAGAAATTTAAAACCAAACATTGAGTTGAATGTCTTCCAAATTTATTTTCGTCAAAAACTATAAAATTTTGATTCATATATACATATATATATATATATATATATATATATATATATATATATATATATATATATATACCTACAACTGCAACTGGCGGATAAGTGTAGATTTCTGCGGTAGGACCATGCAACAGTGTTCACTGTTGCACGAATGAGCAGGTCCGTCCGGGTAAGTACCACGACCTCACAGAAGAAAACTGCGTAAAGTAGTAGTGTTACACTTCTGCGTTTCGTCTGGTGAGTGAGGTAGCCGGGGCTCACTTTATTTATAGGTGGCAAAGCATTTGCCATCCTACGGGTGTTGCAAATGTCCATGGCGGTTATCTCTTAACAACAGGTGAACCGCCAGCTCGCTTGCCACTTTCTTACATAAAAAAGTCATTTCACGTGAATATGACATGCTCTATGGATCTTTTCGGCTAGCATTTCATTACGGACATCAATGGCAGCCGTCATTAAATCTGGACTATACAGCAAGGTGCACCCTTTCGAAAGAGGGAGGGGGCGACATGAAAGCGGTCAAAGCGGCCGGCGGCGGAGGGTTGCTATGGGATATGCAAAACTCATATCGGCGCTAGAGAGCACGCGGAGTACGCGTGCACGTTATTACGCGTCACGAGCAACCCTAGGGCGGTAGGGTTGTCACGATGCGAATTCTTACTTTATTATATTTTATTTTGCTTGAAATTATGCTCCATCTGTAGATTAAAAACATTTCCGTGTTGTGGAAGACTTGAAAAGAAAATTAGTATGATAATGGACATGCCTTTTAAAAAAACGCTATGTTCATAACACATATTTTTTCTGTAGCAAAAGATCGAATTGAAATTCTCTGCCGCAAGAAACAGATCCACTACGCTAATCGAGAATTTTTTGTAGATAAATCAATAAAAACTTTCGGCACTGAGGGGTTCGAACGTGGGGCTTCCGGTTTTGCGCCCAGACGCTTTACTAACACCTGGTTCGCGTTGTAATTTTAAGGTTAAAATTAAATTATTAAAATCTACATTTATCTAAATTCTTTCTATTGCACTTTTAGCAACGCTTGGCGCCATCTAGTGTGCAACCTTTACAGAAAGCAACACCTTACAATCATCTGCCTGCATAAGATAAATCCAAAATTTTTATAGAAATTTTCAATAGACTTTTTAATTTCTGTTCTTCTTAAATTGAATTATTTATACATTTTTAATAAGATATAAGGATTAACTCACACCATTTTTCTTTATCTTATAAACAGAAAAAATCGAATTAATCAGAGATCATAAACAGACAGTGGGCCCACAATAGCAAGTTGCTATTCCTCCTTACTAGTTACTTATATTAAATTAGTGATTCGTGATGGCTACTACAACCATAAAGAGAAAACAGAACTTCCGTTCTTCGGACTACGTATACTTATTTAATTAATATAGTATACTGGTAAAAGACCAACGTTCGTACATTCGAGAAACATCTGTCTCTGCATTAATAAATAGTACATTTAATGAAATAGTTCTTTTTACGTTTCAAAACTAAAAAATAACATTTCTAAGAGTTAAAAGTAAAAAAAAATAATCAAAACAACATAACTAATTAATAAAACGTATTTTGAAAATGTACAACCCTACGTACGCAGTAGATCCTTTGGCGCCCTATCTGTACTGAGCGGTCACTGCTGTTATCTATGGAAACCATATAAAAAATTAATTACACATTCCTATTGACGTTTCGAGTAGGGTGCTGCGCGTGACAGCCCTGCTCATGACCCTAATAAGTTCTTTCTATTACCAATCCCGTGTACATGCGAGTGGCGCCTCTTTTACATTAGCTCCAGTCTAGACTGGTTTTCTTAGACTTACTAGTGTTTTCGCATTTTTTCTATAGATAAATTTGCACATTAATGGTGCACACTCAATATTAAAAATTTTATCAATATTAGATATGTTAATAAACAGTGCTTGGATGACCGAGCTTTGCTCGGTATTTTAAAAAAAAATAAGTGTGTAAATGATCGTGACACGAACCGCGGCCTTCTGTTTCGGGGCCGCTCGATTACCAACCGAGCTACTATAACGTTTTTTCTTTTCGGTGAAATTTACCGTCGTATTCGTATGATATTTTTCATTCCCTGAAAACAGGGATAAAACGACATTTTCTAAAAATGAAACCTAGCCAGATCGATTTTTCGCCCCCGAATCTACGCACATACTAAATTTCATGAAAATCGCTGGAGCCGTTTATAGCCGCTGGAGGTTCCGATTACATATATACAAGAATTGCTCGTTTAAAGGTATGAGATAAATATATTCCATAAGCATGAACAAATGCGAAAGATGGCGCATGGTACCTATTGTTTATAATTGTTATAGAAATGGTATGACTCAAAAACAAATAAACAGGTTTTTTTTCAACATTTTCAAACCTCAATACAGTGATTATGTGTAGGTAAGTGTGGGCTTAACGATTAAGTCGATAGGTTTTTTAAAATTATCATCGGTCGGTAAACGGGCGGCCCCGAAACAGAAGGCCGTGGTCCGTGTCACCATCATTTATCTACACATTTATTTTTTTCCTTTTTTCGATTCCAGTAAATGCTTTCTTTATATATTATTTTTTGTCGACCCAGATGATTTTGTTATTTTTTTCCTTTTTTTAAAGTTCTTTCTTTTGTGAAAAACACATGAGGTAGGTTTTGAGGAAGGTGCACAAACATGAAATGTTTGTGCACCTCAAAATCTCGGTACCACCCTAAGTTTGACTGGTAGAAAATGCTGACAGCATTAAGTCCGCCTATGTACAGAGTTATGTGCATGAAGTCTTAAATAAAATAAAAATAAAATAAAAACACCAGTTCATATTTTCTTATTATTACGTCGGTAAGATCGAAAAATATTATGCATATTTCATTACTCAGTAATTTGTATCTAAATGTAATTGTATTGTTATTTGTAAATTTTGTTAATTGTAAATGTAATTTCCAAAATAAATGATTTACCTGCCTCCTGGTCCTCCAGGTACTGCTATATAATAGCTACAGTTGAATTAGATGAAACTATAGTTAACTATATGTTATGCTATGCTATGCTATGCTATTTATATTATGCTATCTATATTAATAATACTAAGAAAATGATTTATTTAACATCCCAACTAAAATAATTACCCTCTTTACAGAGGAGGCCTTTGAACAGCAGTGGGACATTTATAGGCTATTACTTTACTTTTACTACTTTTACTAACGATAACAATTTTTCGTTTCGTTATCGTTATAACAATTTTTCTGAAAAAGATTTTAAAACATGCTTAGTTGAGGATCCCTGGTGCCTGCAGTAGGTATTGAAAAACCCGTAAGGCACAATTCACCAGGTACCAGCCTTTGGAATTTTTAATACACAATTAAATAGCTTGTACCATTTGAACAAAATATTGAAAAGAAATTATACAAAAAAACTAACCTATAAGATTAGAATAAACATAAATATAAACCTTCTCTTGAACCACTCTATCTAGTAAAGAAAACCGCATCCAGATCCGTTGCCTAATTTTAAAGATCTAAGCAAACATAGGGACAGACAGGCAGCGGGACGACTTTGTTTTATACTATATAGTGATACATTGCACCCGTGCGAAGACGGGGCGCTAGTAATTCATATAAAATGCATATTGTTAATATATGTTCGTTTCAGAGGCGGGAGGTGCGTCTCACGCCAGAGCAGGCGGCGGAGCTGTACCGCGGCCACTACGGGCGTCACCACTTCCCGCACCTCGTAGCCCAGATGTCCAGCGGACCGATAGTCGCCATGGTGTTGGCGTGCCGTGGGTGCATACAGAAGTGGCGGACTCTGATGGGACCCGCGCGGTACGTCGCAGTGCGGAAGTTTACGCGAATGCCTCACCCAGAATTAGATTGTCGCTCGATTACGATCAGATGAATGATTCGCTGTTGCACGAATGGGCAGGTCCACCCGGGTTGGTATCACGACCTCACAGACGACCGGCGTCAAGTAGAGGTGGTATACTTCTGCGTTTCGTCTGGTGAGTGAGGTAGCTGGGGCCCTCTTTACTAAAAGGTGGCAACGCATCTCTAACCCTACGGGTATTGAAAATGTTCACAGGCGGCGGTTATTACTTAACAGCAGTGTCAGCTCGTTTGCCACTGTCACATAAAAAAAAGATTCGTAAATGGCAGAGCAGAGGCATAAAACAGTTCAGACATGTATTTATGTGGCCCACGGATTGTTCTGGATCCCAAGTGGGGTTGAGGTCGGACAAGGGGCCGTAAAAGTGACAAAGGAGACAAAATCATGATTCGCATGTCGCGCCGACCCTACCTAGGTCGATTAGGGCAGACGGATGTTGATGAAGGTCGAGTATTCAACAGGGTTGTCGAGGCGCAAGCCTACTGGCCTGACAGTTTGCGCGCCTGTTACGGACGCCGCACAAAATACGGCGACTATTTCAACGCACTGCACGGAAGCAAGGACCACGCGGAGGCCTTGCGCGAGATTCACTTCTTCTTTCCTGACAGTCAGTATTAAATAAATAAATATTTCACGACATATTTTTACACAACGTTCTCTAATCCCAAACTAATCAAGGCTTGTACTATGGACACTAGGTAACTGATAAACATACTTTTCTTTTGTAAATAAATACATATTGTACATATACAAACACCCAGACGCTAGAAAACACTATCATTTCCAGTAGTGAGTTCGTCATACAATATTTTTCCAATAAAATACGCCAATTGGGTTGTCAAATATCTTCTACTGTGGCGTCTTAAATTCTCCGGCACACTTTTAGAGGTTAGTTAACTCCAGTATATTAGTGTAGATACGTCCACTTTGCCGCGGTCAACGCTACCTCGGATTCCTCTCAGTATCTTTTAATTGTGGAACTGTTACTAATGTATCCTTGCACCAAGAATGTGTCATCTTATCCTTTAAACGAGCAATTCTTGTATTATTCCGATTATATATATATATATATATATATATATATATATATATATATATATAAAGATATATCTATATATATATTATTCCGATTATATATATATATATATATATATATATGTAATATATAATATATATATATAATCGGAATCTCGGAAACGGCTCCAGATTTTCATGAAATTTAGTATGTGCGTAGATTTGGGGGCAAAAAATCGATCTAGCTAAGTTTCATTTTTAGAAAATGTCCTTTTATCCCTGTTCAGGGAATGAAAAATATCATATACACACTTATTTTTTTTTTATATAACAAATCATTGCTTTCTTTTTTTGTCGATCCAGATGATTTTTTTATTTTTCCCCCTTTTTTTTAAAGTTCTTTCTTTTGTGATTTTGTTTGTTCATATTTTCTTATCATTACGTCGATAAGATCGAAAAATATGATGCATATTTCATTACTCAGTAATTTATATCTAAATGTAATTTTCAAAATACACGATTAGCAAAAAAAAAAGCAAACCGAGCAAAGCTCGGTCCTCCAGGTACTGTATAATAAAGCACTCATTGTTAATTCCCTTTGACCACGCGGGCGAAGCCGGGTAACAGCTATTTAAATACCTAATAATATTAATTTCGTATGAAACAAGACAAGTATAAATATTTTGTAAAATATATTACAAAATTATTATACTTGGCTGTGGAAGAGCCTCGCACCACAGCCGAAGCTGTTCGGCTGATGCACGAATGGGCAGATCCGGATTACCCAGAGTAAGTACTCACAGAAGAACGGCGTGAAGTGGAAGAGTTATACTTCTGCATTTCGTATGGTGAGTGAGATAGCCGGGACCTACTATATTAAAAGGTGGCAAAGCATCTGCAGCCTTACGGGTGTTGCAAACGTCCATGGGCGGCGGTTATCACTTAACATAAGGTGAATCGACATAGCTCGATTGCCACCTTCTGCTCACATAAAAATGAATGCGTTGGAAGGAAACCGAAAATGATATTTGAACCATTGACGATGTTTCACTCAATTACCTTTCTTCCCCATCGGTTATCGGTTCTACGAACCTAATTTTCTGAGCTATATCGGTAAATTTTGTTCTACTGCGGATGTATTCATTGCGAACTCTTAACGCAGAGAAATATCGCACATATTATCTCCCTGAGTGACTTTTAGCTTCCTCATACGGCCAGCAGAGAAGGGACCGCGTCTCAGTTCCGTAGGTCATCTCTCATTGATTGAAGACTTCAAACATCGAGGGGTATCAGACGAAAAAATATGCAGAAGTTTCCCGAACGCTACCCATCCGAATGTTTCGCCGATTGACCTCTGCGTCGAAGTTGAACTCAATAATCGTTACAAAACCAATCAATTTGTCCCCAGTGATCGTTGGACCGCTGCTCCGACATTGGCAAGTGAACGACTACGTCCAGAAGCACCTCGCGTCGACACTCGAGCCAGCGCTGTCGGCCCTGGCCCGCGAGAGGCCCGCCGAGCCCGTCCTCTGGCTGGCTCACTACCTCCAGAAGAACAACCCCAACGAACCACTCCTGGGCCCGGCCACCCACGAAATCAGGGACGAGCCCCAGTGCCACACGCCCCTGCCGTCAGAGACATCCGAGAGGAAATAACTCATTTAGCTCATTGTCTGCAATGCACTACTATTCTGATAATTCATTACTGAATTAGATCTATATTATCACGTAGCATTGTGGTTAAATGACACGCTATGTTATCGACACGCGTTATAGATTAAATGCGAATAGTGAAGACGAGCTTTTTTACTGTTTTTGCGCCAGTATGACGCTAAAGTTTTTTTTTTAATTTTAATTATTAAAAAATAATTAATTACTATTTTTACAATTAATTAATGGCGGAAACAATAATATTTACATAACGCTTTTTTGGTTTGTTCAGTGTGTTAATCGAAACTAACTTGAATGTATCACTTTAAACCCAGGGTAACAACTATTTCCAGAATACTGAAAATACTTTTGGTATCATTATTAATTTTCGATTTAAATATTATTAAAAACGTGGAAAATCGCTTGGCAATATAATTACAAAGCCACGTTGAAGTAAAAGTATTAATTTAAGCATGGCAACGATCTTACATCTATAGTACTCGAAATTGCACACATTGCAAAGTGCTAATCGGTTAATGTCGGTCGAAATTAATAAATATTCGTATTTAACCAATTATTGTACTGGATTAATGGTCGTCTTGTTTACTTTGTTTGTTAAACACGTCCACGGCAAAAGATTATCTTATCCCACAAAACAGTTAAACACAAATAAAGATTATAATAATAATAAGCAAGGGTTTGAGGTATGTGAAAATGAAAGAGCAATTTTCTCCCAAACTTTATTTAAACACGGATACAAAAAGTGTTATCACAGGCTAACATGTGTCAACTGAATAATTTGGTTGATAGAAAAGATTACACGACGAGAGTCATGATTGATTACTTACATTTCCATTTACCAAACTTCGGTAAAGGTTTACGCTAACAATAAACGATTGTACAATTTTGGTGATACATGCACTGAGGGGCCCTTAAACTAAAAATAAATTCACGTCGCATTAAAAAAAATCAAAAATGGGATTCATTTAACTCTTACAACACAATATTTATTACCTTTATCGCGTTATACAAAAATCAAAAGTAATCGCTACATTTGGTAAAGACTTAAGTAAATGATGGAGATTACGAAATACGGGACTTAAATGATTACAAAGTCCCTCCTTCTCAGCAGCACCTGAAATGGAAATATAGGTTTAAGAAATTTCAAATGTGAATTTATGTGATTTTAATACTAAATAATGGCGAGCTATTCCTTTGAATTGTATTCTTCCATGTTCTGTAATAACTTTCTTTATATATGAAAATAAATTACGCATTGCCATTTGACAGCTGATTAGTTAACTTCTAAGATGATCAGTGTTTCAGAAACCGGGCGTTAATCTATCACGAACCGCCGTGACTTCCCATGTCAGCGACAACGCCAGAGCAACACAGATACCAATTAATCCTTATTTTCGAACAATAAATCAGTCGCCTAATGTGACAAGGTTTACGTCTGCAGTTGGGACCCACAAAGGTCGGGTTCCATCTCATTTTCGGATGTTGGTGTACTAATTCGAAATTGTCTTCTTAAATTATGTTTGTTGAGACAGCATTACAGTAAGACGTCACGACGGAACCGTTATGGGTTAATCGTGCTTTTGAGCCGATAATAATTAATAGCTTTTATACAAAACTAGCGAACCGCCCCGGCTTCGTGCGGGTGCAACGTATTATACATATAAACCTTCCTCTTGAATCACTATCTAATAAAAAAAAAACCGCGTCAAGATCCGTTGCGTACTTTTAGATCTAAGCATACATAGGGACAGACAGACAGCGGGACGACTTTGTTTCATACTGTGCAGTGATAACACTAACGCGCTCAGTTGCCGCCCCTGTGCATGTGCACGTAGGCGGCGCTGCGGTCGGAGCAGAGGCCTATCTTCTCGCAGACGCTCTTGGTGCCCAGGTCCTCGATCAGGTGGATGACGCTGTCGCCGTAGATCTCCATCAGCGTGTGGCACTGCGGAGGAGATACAGTCAAAAAAGAAACGTAAAACTGACCATAAGTGTCCCACTGCTGGGCAAAGGCCTCTTCTGTACAGAGGGTATCAGAGCGGCCCCACTGCGGATTGGCGGACTTCGCATATTTTCGAAATATTTTTTTTTTGTTATCATTTCGAAATAGATAGCGGTTTTCTTATAAACGATTATACTATGACGTGTTATAGTATAATCGCTTTCTATTTCGCTCCCACCGCACAAGAAATACCAAAGAACGGTTTTATCATATTATCAGTTATTCGAAACTTACATTTTTAGATTATTAGACTTTGTCGAATTTTTTTAATGCTAGCTTTTAATCAGTTTTTCTGTGACGTCGTGACACTTACCCGGAAGGAACTGCGCATTCGTGCAATCTCGAAGACTGTTGCGTGGCCCTACCACAATTGGCGGAGGTAACTTTACTAAAAATCAATTACATTAAACTAACGACCCGCCCCGGCTTTGCACGGGAGCAATGTATTATACACATAAACCTTCCTCTTGAATCACTCTATCTACATAAAAAACCGTTGCGTAGTTTTAAAGATCTAAGCATATATAGGGACAGACAGACAGCGGGACGACTTTGCTTCATACTATGTAGTTATACGAAATCTTGACCCAGTCCTACTACCCGATCGTTTGCACTAAAACACAATATGGGTAAACTCACCCTGTCAGAGTACTTGGCCGGCAGCAGCGCGCATGACTTCTCCACCACGTGCACAATGTCATGGTCCGTCTTGTCGTTGCTGAGCACCTTCTTCACCGCCATAACGACGGTCTCGCACACAGCGCAGTCCAGCACCGATTCTGCTGGAGACCACACATGTACACACATGCCGTATAATAAAACAATTTAAACTAATTTTCAATTTGGACTTGGAATGTATATTTAATATCGGTTAGGAACCCCGACTATGCAGGAGAAGTGTGGGCAGGCCACCACCAGCTAGATGGTCCGATGACATTAAGGAGACAGTAGGCCCCGTCTGGACAAGGGAAAACAAGAGTCGTACTGAATGGACGAAAATTGGAGAGGCGTATGCCCAACGGTGGGCGGACACATGTTAAAGAATAAGGAACTAAGGAATAGACGGACAAACCGGAAGCGGGGTTAGATCTTCTATGGACAAGATACACAGCCCTACCACCGTGAAAATAGTATAAATCATAACGAAAAAATATGAAATGTATTTGTTGAATCTGTCGTATTTTCTTCCTTGTTAAGTACAAGGTTTTCACGGGGTCACAGACAAACCTTTGACGGCGGCGATGCCAGTGGGGTCGCAGAGCTTGAGCTCTCGGCAGACCTCCGAGGGGTCCAACTCCTGGGCCAGAAGGCTGATGATCAGGTCCGAGTACTTATCCACGAACTGGTCGCATTCGTCGCGCACCGTTTTCGGCATGGCCTTGCAAACGCCGTGCACTATCCTCTTGATCTCGTCCTGAAACAGACGACCGCAGTTTAATAGTGCAAGAGTGTTATTACTACAGGACAGTTAATATTACTATAGCGGTATTAGGACCACAACACAGTCTTCGCTGTTGTACGAATTGGCATTGGCATTGGTCCGTCCGGGTAAATACCACGACCTCGCAGAAGACCAGCGTGAAATGGAAGTGTTATATTTCTTCGTTTCGACTGGTGAGTGAGGTAGCCGGGACCCACTTCAAGCCAGACACTTCACTTTTCGTCAAGAGTGTCGAACTAAGAACTTTATTCGTTCTCCCCAGTCTCCACTGATTCCTTTATATACAATTAATAATAATTACAACAATAATAAATGTAAAATAGGAGCGATAGAGTGAAAGAGATTGGAGAAGTGAAAACGAAAGTAATGATTATATTAACAAGAGAAGGGCGGGGCGAGGGAGGTGGAGGGGGGGGGGGGGGGGGGGAGCATTACAAAGGCCGAAGCAAATCTTTCGAAATAGCCTCTAAAGCCACTTACGTCATTATGCTTGTCCTTGATCTGGTCGTCGATCTCTTTCATCACAAACTCGCACACCACGCACACGGTCTTCTGCTTCATGTCCTTCTTGGGGCGGCCGTTGGCGGTGTGGTCCGGGATCTCGTTGGTGACTGCGAATTTTTCACAAAGTTATTCCCGGTTCGGACTAACCGCCATCGTGAACTCCCGCCAATGTATTGCATACTTACTTCCCTGATTCCTACACTAGCCTTATAGTTTCGGGCTCATAGAATAAGGTGAGGTATCTCCAGCCTATCGTAAAAAGTGATAAAATGGGACAGTGATTTCATGGACGAGTTGTAGCCTGATCAACACAATTTTACTGGGCTCGATAGGTATGACAACACGTCGTGGACTACAACACTAAAGTGTTGCCATCCCGTTGGATTTGAAGATGGACGTACACTACAGAGGGGCACCGGTAGGTTCTGTAGGGAATCTCCTATCCAAATTCTGAGAGTCCATCGAGGATTTTAGTTGGTATATCAGTTGGTTGGTTACTGTGGCAGGCTACCCAGCAACTTCCCATGAACGTATAGGCAGGCTCGTCCGAGAAAGTAACACGAACTCACAAAAGACCGTCATTAAGTGGAAGTATTATACAGTCACGTTTCGTCTGATGAGTGAGGTAGCCGGGGCTCAATTTTTGAAGTGCAATAGATTACGGTCGGCTTATCACGTCGCGGCTAATCACTTAATGTCAGGTGGTTCATCTGCTTGTTCGCCAACTTTTCCTATAGATAAAACGCAACGGCCACATAACCATTCTTTCTTCCCAAGAAACAGGCTATCATATATGCTTCAAAAATTTCTTCCGTAACCCAAGAAAAGGAACTATCCACACGAACTGTCTTTTATCGGTTAAGGTGGACACATACAGGCAAAACTTGAGCTTGCTACAATCCTTTTTATTGGGGTTGTTTTGTGCACGATATAAACTTTATGCATGTCGCAATTGAGTAAGTGGTCGACGGGACATAAAAACTATGATCTTTTCGATCGATTTCAATGGAAAACGCAACAAGTCTCACAGATGTATTTTGTGTCCGTGCCCAGGACCAACACTATGACCTTTCCCGGGCAGTGCTACGGAAAATGCAACAAGTCTCACAGATGTATTTTGTGTTCATGCCCAGGACATCCACTATGAAAATGTAAGTCTCACAGATATCGCCGTCGCCGTTCTCCAGCATGCTCTTGGGCAGCATCGGCCTGCCGCGGAAGTTGCCGCGGTCCGCCCTCAGCCGCGGCCGCTCGTGGAACCGGTCTCCGCCGCGGCGCGTCACATCGAGCGGGTCGACGACCCTGTCCTCGCACAGCTTGAGGAACACGCAGATCTCCTGCGCGTTCATGTTGGCAACCAGCATCTCCACCAGCTGCTCAGTGTACGCGTCCACGAAGTCCACGCACTCGGTGCGCAGCCGGGCCGACAGGTGGCTGCACAGGCCGTGCAGCGCGCGGCGGATGTTCTCCTGCGGCGGGGCGAATTCAATAAGGAGAATTCAATAAGGAAAATTCAATAAGGAGAATTGGCGTGTCTGGCAGTGTATCCGTGTCTGCCTGTGTATTTGGCTGCGTATCCATGTGTCCGTCTGTGTATCTGTGACTAGCTGTGTATCTGAGTGTCTGGCAGTGTATCCGTGTGTCTGGCAGTGTATCCGTGTCTGGGTGTGTATCCGTGTCTGCCTGTGTATCTGGCTGCGTATCCATGTGTCCGTCTGTGTATCTGTGACTAGCTGTGTATCTGAGTGTCTGGCAGTGTATCCGTGTGTCTGGCAGTGTATCCGTGTCTGGGTGTGTATCCGTGTCTGCCTGTGTATCTGGCTGCGTATCCATGTGTCCGTCTGTGTATCTGTGACTAGCTGTGTATCTGAGTGTCTGGCAGTGTATCCGTGTGTCTGGCAGTGTATCCGTGTCTGGGTGTGTATCCGTGTCTGCCTGTGTATCTGGCTGCGTATCCATGTGTCCGTCTGTGTATCTGTGACTAGCTGTGTATCTGAGTGTCTGGCAGTGTATCCGTGTGTCTGGCAGTGTATCCGTGTCTGGGTGTGTATCCGTGTCTGCCTGTGTATCTGGCTGCGTATCCATGTGTCCGTCTGTGTATCTGTGACTAGCTGTGTATCTGAGTGTCTGGCAGTGTATCCGTGTGTCTGGCAGTGTATCCGTGTCTGGGTGTGTATCCGTGTCTGCCTGTGTATCTGGCTGCGTATCCATGTGTTCGTCTGTGTATCTGTGACTAGCTGTGTATCTGAGTGTCTGGCTGTGTATCTGTGTGTCTGGCAGTGTATCCGTGTCTGTGTATCTGTGTGTCTATTTGTGGCATCGTAGCTTCGAAACGAATGAACCGATTTTATGTAACGGTTTTTTTTGATAGCTCATGTGATCGAGATGAACCTAAGATAAAATTTATTATGATCTGTTTGGTCGTTTGAATAATCGTCTGTTCATTTTCTACTTGACGGAAAAGGTCTTAGTAATATTCACAAAACAGTTTGATTTAAAATTTGGTGTACTACAGTTGCTAGTGTTAATTCGGTGGTATTTTAAGTTACGCTAAACTTGAGCTAATGTAAAAGATTATAATAATAAGATTATAATATTAAAAGTTTTTAATTTTATTGTGTTATTTTCATTGTATACTGCAAATTACTCGTATTTAATATTTCCATTATTATTACTTAAAATGAAAGCAGACACTTCATACACTTGCTTGTATCTTGTATTAACTGATGTTTTTGCTTTCAGTCCCGAGACTATTAAAGCTTCATCTGACGCAGAACCGGTGGGCTAGCCAGAACCCACGGGTTTGGGCCCTCCGCTGTGGGTAGGGCCGCGCATGTGCTCATGCGTGCGTTTAACTACGACATGTCATCTAAGGGCCATCGAAGTTGCGGTGCGGACCGAGACCCCGATGGCCGTCGACTGTGTTTTTAGCTAATCGGTGGCTGGGGGCGGTGAGAACCGCCCTGGAACGCGGGAAAAACACAACTCCGCTCGATGAGGGTTTGAACTTGAGACTACACCTACAGCAATAGTTTACCGTTGTGTATAACGCTCAGACCAACAGGCTACGCGAGGTCTAACACTTTCTTCCGATATGTTATACCGTTTTAAAGGTCAAATATTAAAATAAACGAATGTAAATTAGCGTACACCTCAACCCTATCTCACTGGTCATCTTATATTCTGTAATGTGGTTTTCGGGAAGTAATCGCTTCTAAGCGACAAGGGTGCCATAGGCTTTATGTAACGTTTGTTAATTTTGTAATTTTTGTCTAGTGAACAATAAAGCACATTTCATTCATTCATTCGTTCGTTCGTTCATTCATTCATTCACTCATTCATTCCACCTTGACCGGCCCACCTCGCTGCGGTTGTTCTTCAGTGTGGCCTCCAGCTGCTCGACGGCGAACAAGCACAAGGGGCAGTTGGACTTGTCGGCGTTGATGGCCACGCGGCGCACTTCTTCGGTCTGCGCGCACAGCCCCAGCGCTGGGCACACCTGCAATCAGATACACAAGTGTTGGTGACCGTACTAGATGTCTATTTAGGAAACCGTTTTTTACTTGTCCAACTGTACTACTATCCATCAAATTTATTTAAGCTTAATTAACGCCACGAGAGCCGTGTTTGTTTCTAGTGTTAACTATGGTGGGACCACAGCACACATTCACGGGACGAATTCTTTCTTCGACGAGTGGGCAGGTCCGTTTAACAACGGTCGTCCCAAGTAGAAGTGTCATACTTCTGCGTTTTATCTGGTGAGTGAGGTGGTCAAGCCACACTTTATTTAAAGGTGGCAACGCACCCACAACCTTACGGCTGGTGTAAATGTCTATAAGCGGCGGTTATCAATTAATCGGTGTCAGTAAATCAGGTGAACCGCCAGCTCGCTTGCCACCATCTCACAAACAAAATAAAGTAGTATTTAAAAAAAAATTTAATGATGAATTAGAAACGAATGAATTTGAAATGATTTAGATTATTAAATGGCTGATGGCGGGAATAAAACTGGGTTTCAAGCCTGGAACTTACAGAGGAGGGGTCGATTTCCTGCACTAGCAGCGCGATTACGGCGGGTCCGTACTCGGTGACGAACTGTTTACACTCTGCGTTCACCGATTCTGGGAGACTATCGCACGCCTTGTTCACTGCGTTCGTTATCGCCTCCTGCGTCCACAAATTTTATTAACACCATCAAATTATATAAAAAAAAAAAAAAAAAAAAAAAAACTGCCATAAACGGCACACACAATCGGTTCATATATAAATTGTGATTTTTGTAAATAAATGAAAAAGTACTTTCGCCGCTGCGGGTTTCGAACCTGCGTCTTATTTGAGTATTTAAATTTTTTTTATTAATTTTATATGTGTTAGCAATAAGAAAATACTTCTCAGAAAATTATTATTTACCTATTTTAACTTGCAGAGTCGAAGTATTGGAACCACTTGAATAAATTACAATTTTTTTAGTCTAAGAGCCAGCAACGTTTTCGAGAGAGAATTTCAGGTAGGCCAATTTTTTGATATGCTATCTCTCTCACACTCCCGGACGTCACACGGGCTATCTGGCTGGCGGTTAATCAGCGTCTAAATGTTTGAAGTCGATAATTTCAGACAGCCGCGCTGGCTGCTATATCAAATAATGTATTCGTTTACTCCCGTCCCTATTGCGAACTGGGGCCACCGACTGCCACCCACCTCGGTGTTGGCGTCGCTGAGCTCGACCTGCAGGTAGTGCAGGAAGTACTCGCAGAACGAGCAGACCGTCTTGCTCTGCGGCAGCGCCACGAACATGCGCTCTATGGGCAGCACGTCGGCGGGCTCCGCTCCCAAAATGCGCACGTTCTTCTGCTTGCTGGCAACGGGGACGCGCGCCACCTGCGAAACATCCATCGAAATTCATCCAAATCTATATAATAATAATTTTATCATTATTATTTTATTGAGGTAACTTGCAGTTTAATTAATCTCTGACTATGTCCTATGGCGTCCAAGTATACAGCAATGTCACAAGAAGACACCCGCTTTTTAAAGACTAGTCAGCGCATCTGCACTTAACAACTAGAGAGTTATTATTTGTTAAATAAATTATGTTAAAATAAAATTTTTGTATAACTACATTAAAAGTAAGGAATTACTTTCGGTGTTGCAAATATGAAGGCTGATCCATCCAACCGAAAAATCTTTGTGTATTGTAAATTTTTCATAGCATGCAAACCCCAAAATGCAGAAAAAGTAAAGTAATTTTTCGAAATTATGCAGGTTTCCTCTCGATGTTTTGCTGCACTGCCAAGCACGTGGTAATTGAGCACTTAAAAATAAACACTTTAATTTGTGTCGGCACCGGGATGTGAACTCGGGTGGCTCGAGCATCATGAATTAAAAACGAACACCATATAACCCGTAGCACTATTGGCAACCCTACATATGCCTGCCAATTCAACAGCAAGAAGCAGTGATCAATCCTACCTTGGTGATGTTGGAGCCAATGGTCCGGGCCGTCACCTGGAGGTTCCTCTTGGCCGCCAGGTCGGGCGGTAGCAGCGCCACCACGGGGACATCCGTTCGGTTCCCGCACAGGCCCATCATGGCGCACACCTCGTTCCCCTTCAGCTCCGTCGCGAGGTAATGGTATATCGCTTCGAAGTACTGCTCCACCAGGCTCAGGCATTCGGATTTGAAGGAGCCAGTCTGTTTACACAGCCCTGGGGAATGAACAAAAAACGTTTAGGTATATAAATAACAAATATAAAGAAATAAGCATTTTCGGACACATTTTTACGCAAGGTTCTCTAATCTCAAACTAAGGAACGCATGTATGGTACTAGAAAACTGATCAACATTCATAAAAATACTATTCTTTTATAAATAAATACAAATTATATAAAGACCCAGACACTGGAAAAATACAATGTTCATCACACAATATTTTTTCCAGTAGTGTGGATCGATACCACACACTCTGGCGTAAGAGGTAGGTTTAGTACTCCTTACGCCATTTGGGTCGGCTTAAATAAATGTATTGGGTCTCGATTTTCAATGAATGAATAATTCTGGTCCACCACTTAGCGAGGAAAATTCAAAAGATTCTGAAGGCGTGTGAAATAACGACGTGGTTATCAATTCTAGTGATTCTGCAACACCCCTCGAGTTACCTCACTCACCACACGAGAGTGAGATGTGTGACACTCCACACCAGTTCTGCAAGGCCGTGGCACTTTCCGGACGAGCCCGCCCATTCTTGCAACAGCCGAAGCTGTTCAGCTTCATGGCTACCACTAGCTAATGCTAATAATGCAACATTGAAGACTGTTGCGTGCTGTATTCGTTGCCGAGAAAAAGTTTCAAGTGGTAGGTTACAAGTAAGCTAATCTCACCAATGAGAACTCTGTGAAATTCGGACTCCGTTGTATTCGCGATCAACACGTCGCGCAGGTGATTGACGACTTGCTCGCAAAACTCGCACGGGACGTCGCTGAAGAGAAAATATTGTTAAGGTTAGTATATTGCTTATATATTATATATATTGATAGCTCAGTGTCCGGGCGACACGTAATCAGTGGTGAAGAAAGACATCATGAGGAGTGCATATTTTCGAAATAATAGCAAAAAAAAATTTTCGTAGATATGTGAAGTTTAGCAATCTGGAGTTGGGTCGCGTGGTGGACTATGCCCTAATGCCTTTCCTTGAGGCCTTTGCCCAGCTGTGGTACTTTTGTAGGCTGGCATGGTCTACTATGCTCTACTCCTAATAATACCTTTTGTACAGAGGAAGCCTTTTCCAAGCAGTATCACATTTGTAGGCAGGCTTTACTTTAAAATTGAGCGTAGGAGTTTTCTACTCACTCTGTGGCCTTAAGCTGGTCGACCTTAACTTCGGGGAAGTCGTATTCGTCGTGGGAGTGGTATCTCTGGGCGCATTGGCCGCTCAGGTGGCAGACGCTGGCGCTGGTGAGGTCCTTCTTGGTGGCGGCCAGAATGTTCTCGTAATACTTGAACACCAGCATAGAGCAAGAGTCGGAGAGGGAGCCCATACGGCCGCACACCTGGAAATACGAGCAACGTTATCAGCTTACTAGTATGAAGACTGTGGTAGGGCCACGCAACAGTGTTCGCTGTTGCACGAATGGGCAGGTCCGTCCGGTTGAGTGCCACGACCTCACAGACGATCGGCGTGAAGTGTAACTTCTGCGTTTCATGTGCAATACCAACACGTAGGGTTGCAGGTGCGTTTCCACCATTTAATGAAAAGGGCGCCGGCTACCTCACTCACCAGACGAAACGCGGAAGTGTAACACTCCCACATCGCGCCGGTCTTCTGTGAGGTCGTGGTACTTCTCCAAACGGAACTGCCCATTCGTGCAACAGCGAACACTGTTGCGTGGCCATACCACAGCATACTTTTGAGATGCACAAAGTGTTGCTTTTATTAGTTATACACTTTTAAATAGACTTTATCCTCGAACTAATCTTAACCGGCAATATCCAAACCCAGAATATAGAAACAAGTGTATATAGAAATGTATGTGTCACGTACATCATTTGCATGACTATTTGCATTCCTCAAACTAGTGGATATGCAACGGGAGCCCTCACCTGCAGCAACCCAACGAGGAAGTCTTCGTAAGTGGTCGCGTCGAATCTCTTCCTCAATACGCCAACAGTTCGGCGACAGTTGTTGCAACCGGATCGTGCCTCCAGTTTCTTGTTCTGTGAAACAAACGACGAGAAAACTTTCAAAACGCTCAAGGCATTTTCAATTATTATTGTTTCCTCATACTGTACAGTTTAAAAAATGTTGTAAGGCATTTTTACTCTTAATGATAATGTAAAATAATGGTCATCTAAATAACCATATTTGTTTTTACGCCTCTATACACACCACAACCCAAACTTTTTATGCTTTTTACACTATGATCGCACTAATCGAAAGTTGTCATAAAAGGGAGTGTTCTCTCCACGCTGCACGGGCTGAACGGTTTTTGATGAAATTCGGAATGGGGAATAATAGGTGTTTGCACTCACATAGTCCTCTAGCATAGCGTCGATACGCGCGCTGTTGCACAAGCCTGCAACGGAGCAGACCGCTTGCGGGTTCATCTCCGAGGATAGGGTCTCCACCAGCTCGGGCACGAAGTCATCAGCGAGCATAATGCACTCCTTGCGCACCAGTTTGATCGGGATCAGCTTGCACGAACCTTCGAACACCTCCTTCAGCTCCTCCTGAGAACGAGCGAGACGGCTTGAAGAGAAACGATCCAGGGTTCTTACCGCCCCCAGACAACGGTTAATAAAGTCAAAGGTCACCGGGAACATGGTCCCTACCGAACCTCTGTGGCCTGTACGTGACGACAACGAATGCATTAGCACATGCGCAACCCTAAATCAAAAATGTCTGTCAAAGTAAATTGAAATGGTCTAAGATCCGGCTGCAGAATTACTGCACTCATCGAGTATATATTAAAATCCAACTTTTTACGCATATTTATGGTTAGGAGAATATACATTTACCGGGTTGCCTATCAAAATGTGGCCACTAATATTTTTAATTAAATTATTGTTAATTGATTTTTCGGAAAGAAAATCATTCTTAGTACGTGGCGTAGCACTTTTATCGGATATTATTGCGATGCACGCGAAAGTATATAGGAATAAACAAGTGAGTCAATTACGTTTCTATTTCATTGGATCTAAAGGTCATGTATACATAAAGACAATGTCGAAGCGCCCTAACATTTACGCGTACATTATTAAACATATATAGGTACATACTTAATATATAACTTGTAATCAAATAAATAATAAAATGTAGTTGTAAAGTTATATCTGCATAGAGTGGGTGGTGTTATTGTACGATATCGAAAGTAACAAGGGTCAGTTGGCTGGAATAATCTGTTGGTTGAAGCAAACAGCGGGATATTTATTTTCGTTGTTTTATCTCACGTATCTAAGCGTTATATTAGCATTCTCGATCCGAACCAAAAGATGGTTCGATGTATACTACTCAAATAATAATAGTTTCATAATCTACTTTAAGTTAATATTATAGATAGTTCTTAAAACTAACAAAGAAATTAACTTTAACGTTCAGAGCCTCTTTAGTTATAATTTTATTAATTTAGTTATCTTAGTGTAACTTACAGAAAGTAAAGGGATTTTTATTCTATTTAAATTATTATAATCTTACGTATATAAATACATCATTACGTAGATAAAAGAAAGATTTTCGTAGACGTGGCTAGCAGCCTTTCAGTTTAATGGTTAAAGCGACTGGTCGCGTATCCCGTAAGTTCGCATAAGTCGTAGCTTCGATTCCCGTCCTTTTAAGGATTTTACTCATTTTCTATTCACAAATTTTAAGGATTTTACTCATTTTATTTATATTAGTATGTGCGAAACTTCCATTAATAATTCCTTCGGGATATGTTTGACGGCAAAAATCCAGTTCTTAAAGGTTGATTATGGTCGAATGCGAATATAATATAATGAATGCACTTTACTGCCGTTTCTAACAAATACGACAAATACAATGTCAAGGTTTAATCATGCAAATATGAGCATTGCAATGACTGCCTTATCTAAACCGAGCGTAGTGACAAATAATACGACAAACAATGTTAACGGTTACAAAGAGAGTTCACATCTATATATATACATATGATGCAAAGTGTTAATGATGCAAGATGTGTAGTGGTGAAAACTTTAAAAGCCCACATATCAACGCAATAGAACCCAAAACAATGATTAATAAAATTTTTGTCTGTTTGTCTACATGTTTGTAATGGTACAATTTGTTTTATGTAAGTGCTGTATGCTTTCCTAACCAATAAAATAAAATAAAAATGTAACTGCAACCAACAACTGTCTGAGTCTAAATAAAAACGGCCAATTGAAGAAGTTATGTAAAACGTTTTTTGTATTTTCGAGTGAAGGCGTAAAATTGCGGGCTAGTTTTTAGAGTACACGTGCAAGTTTTTCACTTTTCATACACATCAAATAGAATTCTTTTGCAAAGCTTATTATATATATAAATAATTATATTGTTTAGTTAAAAAAAAAAAAAACTATTAATCTTATGAATCTCGGCGTCGCAAATTTTTCCTTCCTAACTGCCATTCAAACGGACATCCAGTCTTCTCGAGTAACGTTCGTGTTATAAATTTTAAGGCTTACATCTATACGTATATCTATTAAAACTGCACAAGCCTCACTGCTCCGCTCGAGTACTGACATGGATTAGAATGAAAAATACTTCGTTCCTTTACTCAGTGAACTTTCCAAGCGTTTGAATAAAAGTTCCCCACTTAATTTTACTTACAGTTATTGAACATTGATATTTAATACGAGTATAGATTATTTAATGGCATATAAACGGCTTCTGGGGAATGTGTTCAGATTTATAATAATTATTTTTCGTTATTCTTAGAGTTTACTTCATAAATTTCTTTTTATTGGTCTATAATGGCATGAAATTGGCAGTAGATAGTGTTAATCCAAGAATCTGATTTACACATGACGGTCGGTTAGCTTAATCTCTAAATATAATTTATTAAAAGGTTTTTTGCCACAACGTCCATAATTCTTCATCAAATTTAAGGATTGGAACATCATGTTAGACTACTATTGATGAAAAATGTGAAGTTAATATTTTCATATACAGGGAGACTTTTTTAAAGGTGCCCAAATTAACACAGGAGGTTCAGACTCGGTAGTATAATCGTTTATTGAAATAAAAACAAACTTCTTTTTTTTTTCATAAAATTGCCATTCTATTCCCTAAAAATCGGAACTTGTTGACAACGCGGTGGTCATTCATAAATACCTAAATTTTACTGTTCACACACACAAACGAACTTGTGTGCGTGTTAGTTATGAATGATCGCGCGTAAAATAAATGAGATACGTATAAATCACGCACTTTTTGAGATAAGTTCAAATGAATGTAATTAATTAATTAATTAATTACATTCATTTGAACTAACGAGTGATTTAAAATATTTATAATTTTTATGCCCCATTCGTGCAACAGCGAAAACTGTTGCGTGGTCCTACCACAGTAGCCGATATACGTAACAAACAGATGTGCATATTTATTAAAAGAATAATAAATTATTAACATACTTGTTATAATTATGATGTAGTCAAATGAATATATAATAAGATATTCATTATAATGTTTATTAGATGGACTACATTATAATTTATTTCCCTAATGCTTTCGGGTGGCCAGCGGGCACAACTTAAAATTCACTGTTGTTAATTGTATTCTCGATTTAATGTTTGTGTGAAAATATGGAAAAACATCTGATGCAATGCACAACATAATTATGAATCCTATTTTCTAGTTCTAAATGTATTTGCACTGCGCAGTTCTAAATCTATTATTATTTATTTATTTATTTATTAACTTCTTTATTTGGAATATATGTACCCAAATAGTAACAGTGTTGCCAAAGTGAAACCAGAAGTGACTCTCTCTCGCTTTTTTAAAGATTTACTTTGGAAATATCTGTTGCTTAACATGCAAAACTAGGGCACTTTGGTAGTTAAGCTTTAAAAGAATTTAAAAAAGACTCATGAGTCTTTCAAACAACTCAAGTTTGTAAGTTTGGCGCGCCTAACTACTGCAAGGATACAGAATAAAATGTAAATAACTCTAATGTAAGCTTTTAAAGTAGTTCAAAATAGCACAAGGAGTGGCAATTACGGGGGCAATTTTTTTTACAATGAAAAGAATTAAAATAGCCATGAACGCCCGTTATAACGTATCTCGACGCCTTAACATATAGAAAGTTTACTTTTATTAAACTTATTTTTGTTTTTGAAACTTGATGAACGTATACGAGTACAGTGACACTAAAAAAGTGACACTTAAAAAAGCAAACATCGTAAACATTTCTGATATTTTAAATTGTTTAACTTATCCACAGCTTGTAGATTTTTGTAATCTGAGAGTTATCATCGAATGAAGTCTCCAATTATCTGAAAGTTCGTTGTGTCGGAAAATTGACGTGAGAGTTTCGAACAGGTTGAATTGTAACGACAATTTCAATTGTAAATATGTGCATACTATGCATTCGTAAAATTTTAAGATATTCTGGTTTTGTCATATGCAGAGACTTATTGCGTATTCCTTTATGACCTTCACTTCTAATTAACAAACCTCTAATTTTGACACGGTTATTCTTTTAAAATAAATAAATATTTCTTATATCTTTTAAAGAACCACAGATAAAAAATAGAAAGAACAGAGCAGCGTACAAAGAAACGAGCAGTTCATCTAATTGTAAGGGATAACTGTTGCCTATGGAAATAATGCAATCATACAAATACCTTACGCCGTTCGTTTGAGGGGTCATGGTTGTTCTCTGTACCAATAATAATTATTTCTATGGATATCTGTAAATAATGAAGCAATCTTAAGTTATGTGTGCTCACTTTCGTATATATAAATAAAAAATATTTAGATATAAGACGTGAAATATAATTAAGAATAAAGTGCGTAAGTATGTACAATTTATATATTAACATATAATCAACGTAGATATCAATCCAGGTTTCTTTTCAACACCAATTAAATTATTGAAATGTTTTCCTAAGTTCACAATTCTACGCAATTATCCACCGTTCTATGATTAAACACCAACTACGAAAATCATCAAGAATACTAATACCAATATAAACAATCATAAATTATTGAGTTAAACAAAAAATACGTAATGCATTAAAAATAATACACCCGTTTTAACTCGGAAACACTTTGAGAAGGTGGCAAGTGAGCTGGTGGTTCAACCGATGTCAAGTGATAACCACCAACGCTCATGGACATTTGCAACAGCAAGACGTAGGGTTGCAGATACTTTGCCACCTTTTAATAAAGTGGGCCCCGGCTACCTCACTCACCAGACGAAACGCCGAAGTATAACTTCCACTTCACGCCTTCTGTGATGTCGTACTACTTCCCCATTCGTGCCACAGAGAAGACTGTTGCGTGTCCCTACCGATCGTCGACTTAACATCCTTTTTTTTTAACTGATGTTTGAGCTTTCAGTCCCGAAACTACTAAAGCTTCATCTGACGCAGAATCGGTGGGCTAGCCAGAACCCACGGGTTTGGGCCCTCCGCTGTGTGGTAGGGCATGTGCTCATGCGTGCGTTTAACTACGACATGTCATCTAAGGGCCATCGAAGTTGCGGTGCGGACCGAGACCCTGATGGCCGTCGACTGTGTTTTTAGCTAATCGGTGGCTGGGGCTTAACATCCTTCCTAAAGCAATGGACAATAAGGAATAATCGAGGAAGAATACAATCTCTAAAGCAGAGCCCTCACCTGCGTCCCGTTGCTCTGCAGCTGGTCGCGCGCCTGCTGCACCATGTCCGTGCAGATCTTGCAGATGCTGTCTGCGTCCTGCGGGAAGGTGGATCGGGGCCACACGCGGTTGAAGCAGTGGTGGGTCGCCTTGCACTTGCGCCCGGTACTGACAGGGGGAGCGGACCGTATGTATAACAATACTGGCCGTATGTATAACAGTCGCGGTTACTTCGCCCGCGCGGCATGGTAATAACATTGAGTTTTTTATTATACACCAGAACATTTCGCGGACGGCTGATTTTTTTCTTACTTAGTTGACACTTATCATTATACTAATATAATTTGGGAAAATTGACAATATATCCTTATAAGTTATAGCCTATGTGTTATTCTGATGTATAAGCAATATCATTGTAAAGTATCATTTAAATCTATTCGGTAGTTTTTGCGTGAATGAGTAACAAACTTTCGCTTTTATATTAGTAAAAAGTAAAAGTAAATAAGTAGTTTATAAAAAGTAACATAATAAAAAAAAAATTAAATAATAGACTTATGGTCCAGTCACTGATTTGTTTTGTATGTATGTATTTGTAAAGTAACAGCCTATAAATTTCTCACTGCTGGACAAAGGTTTCCCCTGCACAGATGGTATTGGCGGACTTCACATAAATGTACAAAATATTTTATTTTTTCCTTGAGGTTTCCTCACGATGTTTTCCTTCACCATTGAGCATGTGATAAGCCAGCACTTAAAATTAACAATTTCATTGGTGCCAGAACCGGAGATCCGGGATTGTACCTGGCTTGCTCGAGTATATTGAATTAAAAGAGCGCCCGGACAATGGCTCATCTATACTGAACTATTAAACCGGTTTACGTGACTGGTTTAATAGTTCACGTAGAGAAAACAGTTGTAAAAACGTTTGGTTGCCTCGACGCCAACCCTTCGTTGATACATCACAAAATGCACACAGCCTCACCACCGTTGGAATTAGTCCGTTAGACAAATGGACAATAAAGGTATTGAAGACGGCCGCTTAAATGGAAGGAAACTTAACGTAGAACTATAGCCGCGGCGTCTTACCGGCACAACAATACCGTTTGTTATGCAACAATACAATCATTGTTCGGTTTGTCGGCGAAGCGTCCTTTCTCAACGGCTCCGTTCGTAGTTCATCGAGTTAAATACGCCGACGTTCCAGTTACGAGGTCGCGGAATTGTTTTTAAACGTAATTGAGTTAAAAAATCTAATTAGGTAAAGCCAACGATATTTTATAGTACAGATTATAGAAGCGACGAACGACCCAATTGATTATGGCACGTCTTCTCTTTAGTTCACGATAGGCAGAGCGGCGAGTAAGACGCGTTGGAAAAACCTTTTCAATAATAAAATGCCGTCCTGTGACTAAAAGGATGTACAAAGTACGACTGTAGAGTCAACAAAATTCAAGGTATCAATATCATGTACATATTGCAACATATTTTCGATTTATTCGTTTTGTTCAATTATGTTCCTAATATTTTAATTACAAAACAAAGAAAGAGACAGCGAGTAGATTTAACACGGGAAAGACTGATGCGAACATAGATTTCGTCAAGCGTGCCGTGATTGGTTTCCTGAGTTAGATTTCTTCACACATACGCTAAACAGACAAACACTTGCCGTCCTCATTTTTCTAATCTATCATTACATATAAAACAAAGTCGCCCCGCTGTCTGTCTGTCCATATGTATGCTCAGATCTTCAAAACTACGCAAAGGATCTTGATACGGTTTTTTTTACTAGATAGATGATTCAAGAGGAAGGTTTAATGTAAAATAAATTGCACCCGTGCGAAGCCGGGGCGGGTCGCTACTATATTATATAGATTTACGTGAAGCAAAAACTTTTTACCTCTTTCTACGAAAATTGCGCGGACGGAGGAGGAGTATGAAATTTCCCATACTTATAATTTATGTAGAGAAGGAGTGCGAAATGTTAGTTTTTTTTATGCGAATAGTTGCCAAACGAGCAGACGGGTCACCTGATGTTAAGTGAATACCGCCGCCCATGGACATCTGCTACACCCGAGGGTTACAGATGCGTTGACAACCTTTTGAAAATTGGGCTCCGGCTACCTCACTCACCAGACGAAACGGGAAAGTATTTGTCATACTTCCACTTTACGCTGGTCTTCTGTGAGGTCGTGGTACTTACCCGGACGGGCCTGCCCATTCGTGCAACAGCCGAGGCTGCTGCGTGGCCCTACCACCGTTGTATAAATTATGGTCTTGAATCTCGACCACTGGGCGACCACTAGTTGCTTAAATTACGCTATCATTTTTATGCCATTCGACGTGAGAAAGTTATGATGAACGAAGCGTGGGAATGTGTGCTGTCACACAGGTTAGAACACTATTGACCGGTGATTTTGTAAGCGTATAAACATATCTATAGTCAATGATGTTATACAAATACGAGGTAGATATGACACTAGCGAACCGAATGTGAGGCACTCAAATTACGCCAATCGGTGTAGTTAGCCTATCTCACGGAAGACCAGCGTGAAGTGAAAGTATTATACTTCTGCGTTTCGTCTGGCGAGTGAGGTAGCTGGGGCCCATTTTGTTAAAAGGTGGCAACGCATCTGCAACCGTACGGGTGTTGCAAATATCCATGGGCGCTTGCCACCATTTTACATAGAAATATAAAACTAAACACTTCTTTTTGTACACAAGATATAATTATTTTTTACATAACTGTTGTTTTATTTCGATTCATCACAAGTGAAAAAAGTTATAGTGAGCAAAGAAGTTACAATGACTTTGCTATATTATTAATTTCTTTTTTAATTCATTCCGATAAAAACAATAACAGTAATATTGCGGTTAGCAAATACAAAAGACTAAAAAAATGGCGACGCCGTTGCACTCATAATTATACAGGGTGGCTTTTCTGAAGGTGCCCAAATTCACACAGGAGGTTCAGACTCGGTAATATAATCTTTTATTAAAATAAAAACAATTTTTTTTTTCAAAAATTTGCCTTTTCATTTCCTAAAAAACAGAACTTGTTGACAATGCGGTAGTCATTTATAAATGCGTCGTATACTTTTAAAACGAACGTGCGTGTTAGTTATGAGATCGCGCGTAAAATAAATGAGTTGACCGTAAATCACACACTTTTTGAGATAAGTTCAAATGAATTTAATTAATTCATTATGAGTGATTTTAAATATTTAACATTTTTTAAATAACATTATTTATGTCTAGAATTTAATTACAAAAAATGGATACACTTAGAAAAGCCCCCGTGTATAGTGGCAGAGTTATAATCGAAATAATGCCGGTTTCTTTATAATAGACGGAACATCTGGCGTGCATTTGCCAGTTGAGGTCATCCGTGAATTATTATCAGCCGTGCCAAGTATGACACGCAAATAAAAGAGATGTCCTTGACACTTTCAATGGGACAAATAAATGTAAAATAGCTTTGATGTCCTACCAATAACTAAATGTAGCTATATTTACTAGATTTATCGCGTATTTTTTTAATTTCAATTCTCAACGTTTAAAACACTTTACACTTTAATTAGGGCAGACGAGAAAGAATACTAAAATGACAGCTCAGTGTCCGGCGCTCCGTCCTAATTCAATATAATCGAGCAACCTGATTTCATATCCCGGTGCCGGCACCAATGAAACTGTTAATCGTAAATGCTGACTTATACCGTGCTTAAGGCCCATTTACACGATGCCATTTTCTTGTACATACAAGAGCAATAATTGAATGCAATAAGTTGCACGCAATAATTGACCATCAAGAATTGTAAGGAACAGTTTACACACAGATATAGTAAAAAAAATTGAATGCGATTATTGTATGCAAGTCTTGACAAGAAATAATTGCAAATGTCTTTTGTTTACACCAATGCAATTATGTTTAGGCGATTATTGCTTTCAAGTTTTGACTTGTCTAAACACATGCTTGTATGTGCGTGTACAATTTATTGGCGTGTTGCTTCAAATATTGCACGTATTTGCGTTGACAAATATTTCATTCAAGTGTTGAGCGTTTTGAAAAGGGCTGTTTATTTAAAAAAAAATGGATCAATAATAAGTGTTCAAGTTAGATTATGCCGATTTAATATATTTCATTGAGATTTATTTATTATTATTCATATATTATTATTCATTTATTTGTCCAACTTTTTTTACGAACTTTTCTCAATATTTCTTGCCCCAAAAGAACAGCAACGATTAAACACCCTCACTCATCGCATTCATATTTGCAAAGGAAGAGAGAATGCAATTGAATACAAGAATTGCTTAAGAAATTATTGTGTGTGCTGTTTACACCAAGGAAAGGTTTGAAACAAAACTTGAAGCAAGTCTTGTTCAACAGTCAAGAATGTTATGTGCTGTTTAGACAATGCAACTCATTTATTGCTTCAATTTAATTGTATATAACAGGCAAGAAACTTGCACCGTGTAAATGGGCCTTTAGCTGTGAAGGAAAACATCGTCAAGAAACCTGCATATTTTCTAAATAATAACAAAATAATTTCAAAGATATGTGTCCGCCAATCCACATTGGAGTCGCGTGTACTATACCTTATTACCCTCTGTACTTGCCTTTGCCCAGCAGTGGGACTGTATAGTCTGTTACTTTTTTCTTACTTTTAATTATAATATTACTGTGATGGAAGTCGTTTTCACTGTATTCAAATATTTGTTCTTTTCTACTCACCATAATTATGACATTGAAACTAATACAGCATCTGCATCACTTATTAATTTTTCGACTGAAAAACCTTGCACAGCTGAATCAACACTACATAGTAGGACATGTATAGAACGTAACTTTATTTCACCAACCACAAATAAATTTAAAATAACAATCAATGAAATCTTCTCTAAGACGAGATAATTACTGGTTGTTATAAAAATAAAAAAAAATACCTGAAGTTACTGCACCAGTAAGAAGGTCCCCAGGTGCATGGGGAAGCGCCAAGCAATTTACCTGCAATAACAGAACGAAGACTAAACAGTGTCTAAGCAGCACTAAGCAGTTTTCATAAAAAAAAATTATATATGTTTAAATGCAAGGAAAAAATTATTTGATCCTATAAAATTTATTGATCTATTATAAATTTTGACATAAATGTTTTTTTTTTTGTTTTATTTGTACATTAATTATTGCTTTTGTATTAATTCAAGGAACACGATGTTCAAAAGTGTAATCTTACTGATTAACATTTGATATTAAAAAATAATATTCGATCTGTTTTATCTCCTAATAAAAACGCTTGATGAAGTTGTGATCATAGATAATTTAACTATTTCGACAGATTCATCTTAGACGTCTAATCCGGGTTGCAGAAAGCAAGGTTAATCATTACTTCCTACTTTGATGTTATGAAAAAAATTTTTTTCGCCAGCCAAGATTTACGAATCATTGGATCTAGGCACAAGTAATTAATGCAGCATACATATGATGGTTTATGCGTCGGGAAACAACGATAAGAACAAAATGTAAGAACGAAGAACAAATATACAAATTTATATACAATGCATGAAAAAAAATCAAGAGGAAATGTTGGTGCGGCGCCTAAAGCTTTTGTTGATTTATCTACAAAAATTAACAATTTAATGTTATAGTCTTCTTAAGAAAATATTGGCAAACAACTTCAAAACGACCGTACTATTTGTTACATAAAAAAAAGTCACGGTGTTTTCATTTTTCGCTTCACACTTTACGGTGTATTAGATTTCCGAAGCGAATCGATACGCAATTACGACAAATTGCATTGTGGTATTACAAAATTGATTTAAAAACCGGCCAAGTGCGAGTCGGTCTCGCGCACTAAGGGTTCCGTACCATTATGTATAGAAACGGCAAAAAATCTTGTCTGTTGTATGAGAGTCCCGTTTAAATATTTTTTATTCTGTTTTTTAGTATTTGTTGTTATAGCGGCAACAGAAATACAGCATTTGTGAAAATTTAAACTAACTATCACGGTTCATGAGATACAAGCTGGTGACAGACGGACAGACGGACAGACAGACAGACATACAGCGGAGTCTTCGTAATAGGTTACGGAACCCTAAAAATGGTGTACTTAGAAATAAAAAAAAAAGAATCTCGGTAGTTTTGTTACAAAGATTTATCAAACATATTTACTTTTAGATTATAATGGTCTTATATACATAAAAAATAAGAAGCGATACTCTTTACATTGCTATTATCTTTGGTCGCGGTACTTCAAGAAATGTTTTGAACTGGAGGGCATTGTCTTTGGTAAGTACAATTTAAAAATAATCAATACGTACTGCTTGATAGTTCAGTTCATTATACGACTTAAATTTAGCTATTATTAGAATCAGTGCAATGGTTTTAGTTATATTAAGAATAATTACCTTCATGCTTTGCGGGCGTCACCGATTTCTTTTTCTGAAACAACAACCTTTGTTTACATTATGAAATACAACTATAAAATAGGACGCTAATCGTAATAGCTCAGTAGCTTACGCTAGCTCAATATACTTGAACAACCCGAGTTCAAATACCGGTGTCAGCACCAATGTAATTGTCATTTTTAAGTACTGAATTATCACGTGCTCAACGGTGAAGGAAAAATTCGTGAGGAAACCTGCATAATTTCTAAATAATAACAAAAACAAGAGTAAAATTTTTAAAAGTCTTCAAGACATCTGCAAGCCCTCGGGTGATGTAGACGTCCATAGGCGGCGGTCTTAACTTAACATAAGGTGAAACGCCAGCTCGTATGACGACTTTCACATAAAACACAACAGTACAACAATATAATCAACCCATAATACCAACAAACCAAACCCAAAAACATAATCAAACTAAACTATGTAATACTAAAGAACATCAAGACACCAAGACGAGACGAGATTAGAGGCTGAGTAAGTAACAGAAGGCTACGAAGAAGATGGGGGGAAACGGGGGGGGGGGGGGGGGGGGGGGGGGGGGGGGGGGGGGGGGTTTCATTGACTACTCACGTGCATGGCCATTATGTTGTCCAACTTGTCACTGTTGCACATGGCGACCACGCTGCACATGGTCTCCGCGGAGACGTTGGACGCCAGCAAAGCGGCGATGTACTGTTCTAGGTATGCGGTCTTTTCGCGGCAGTACTTGGTGACCGCCTGGTTGCTGGTGTCGCGGCAGGCGGTGCTGATGCGTGCGGCCAGGTACTCCTTGGGGATTCAAAGTCAAAGGCAAAATTTCTTTATTCAATACAGGCTCATTTTACGTCAAAAACTACCACCGGCTCACTAAACTATATCCGCCAGAGAGAACCGGCAAGAAACTGTGTGGTTTTTTTTTTTTTTTTTTTTTTTTTTTTTTTTTTTTTTTTTTTTTTTTTTTTTTTTTTTTTTTTTTTTTTTTTTTTTTTTTTTTTTGTTTTTTTTTTTTTTTTTTTTTTTGGCTGGATGAGCCACTGTTGGCCTTAGGGGCCTTCACAGATCCGACGGACTTGAGGTGGCCTGGCGCACGAGGCGCCTAGCCTGAACCTCGGCGTACTATTATTACGCGTTATGGTGACTAAGCTCGAGGGCTCCCGGGGGGAGCCTCGGCTCGGGCCGTCACGCTATTATTGTTACCGGTTTGGGAGGCCGCCAAGCTCTTAGGGCGCTTTGGCGGGCGCTCCATGGAGTGATCAGGCTCAAGGGTCCCCGAGAGGGGACCTCGGCTTGGACTGTCACTCAGCACGCGTTTAGCATTCCGATTCGAGGGTGCCCGAGAGGGCCGGACCTCGGCTCGATCGGTAGCTATTATCTGACTGGGGGAATTAGTAGAGCTAACATTACTACCACTTCGGAGAGCGTTGGCGCTGGGAGAAGAAGTGGCGGAAGAAACTCCAGCAACGCTTCTATCATTGATAGGGGAAAACCTGCCAGGTACGTGGCGGAACCTAGTATATGTTTGCCGCACTCGCCGGCGAGTGCGGTGTGTGTTGGTGTGTTTCTTGAGTTTTTTGATCCTTTCGATGGCGATAGTCGTCTCATCGTCAGGGAAGTCGAGAACGTGACGCGGTCTTCGGTAATCGCGGCGGAAAATGTTTAGCGGCAAGGGCCTGTAGGTGACGGCACCTACGATAAGTGGGTTGGGATGCGCGGCGGCGGAATCGAAATATCGGCGCGACGCCGACTTCAGGAATTGCGCGATGGTGGGCAATTCTAGGTCGACATGTAGGTCGATATTGCGCATGAACCAGGGTGCTCCCGTGGCTCTGCGCAAGAATCGATTTTGAATCACCTGAAGCCGGTGTATTTGCTTCGGAGCAATGTGAGCGAAGACGGGACTCGCGTACGTCATGATAGGGCGAACTACTGCCTTATATAAGGTCACCTTGTTCCGAAGGGACATTTTTGACGTTTTATTGAGGAGCGGGTAGAGGCGACCGAGTACGAAGGCCGCCCGGTTCCTGACCTGGGTCACGTGCTGGGTGAATTTAAGCTGGGAGTCGAGGACGACGCCTAGATATTTGACTTTATTCACCCATGGTACTGGGCTGTCCAAGAGTTTAACGGGGGGAGGAATGGGTACGTTCTTTTTTGTGCGCGAAAAGGACTGCCGCGCTTTTAGCGGGATTGATTTCGATCCTCCATTGCCGAAACCAGTCACCGATGGTGATGGCCGCAGCTTGGAGGCGTCGATGGATCAATTCGGGTGTTCTGCCTGTGGTATAAATACAGGTGTCGTCGGCAAAAAGAGCAAGTTCTACATCTTTGACACGCGGCATGTCATTGGTGTAGAGAGTGAACAAGACTGGTCCCAACACCGACCCTTGGGGCACCCCGGCTCGAACGGGATGCGTAGTCGAACACACGCCCTCGACGCGATAGCGAAAGGTTCGATCACTTAGGAAGTCTCGTATTATGCATACGAGACGGTCGGACACTCCGTACCCGTATAGCTTGTATACGAGCCCGTTGTGCCAGACTTTGTCGAACGCTTTTGCCACGTCCAGGAAGAGCGCACCGGTGTTGAGTCCACGTTGGCGTTTAGTTAAAATGTGCTCCGTGATGCGGTGCACTTGATGGGTGCATGAGTGTTTGGCTCTAAATCCAAACTGCTCTGGGATGGGGAGCCCTTTGGTGTCCATAAGGGATCTTAAGCGGGCTAAAATTAGTCTTTCAAAGATCTTCCCAAATGTTTTGAGAAGACTTATTGGACGATATGAGGTTGGGAGAGTGGCGGGTTTAGAGGGTTTGAGGAACCCTATGACATCGGCTTCCTTCCACTCGGATGGGAAGAAGCCTTCGGTTAAGGCCGCGTTGTAAATTAATACTAGTATCTGAAGGATGCTAGTAGGGAGGAGCTTGGTCACCTTATTGGTGATACCATCTGAGCCTGGTGCTTTACGCGGGCGTAGTTTATTGATGGTGTCTATTAATTCGGAGCACGTGACTGGGGGAACGGGATCGCGAAGTGGCTCTAAGGCTTTCCTTTCTACCTCTTCGTTCACCTTGCGGAGGTGTTCGGGGTCGATCGGAAGCAGACTGGGGGAGCATTGAGACTCTAGGCTGTCAGCCAGGCATTCGGCCTTCTCTTCGTCCAGCATTGCTGGCGTACCTATCGGACGGACTAGTGGCGGCATGGTTGTTATGCCGTTACCTTTGAGGGATTTGGGAAGTTTCCAGAAGGCTACATGGGATGGTTTTACTGAAGCTAGGGTGGAATCCCAACGTTCGTTTCGTGAGTCTGCTATGCGTGTTTTTTGACCTCACGCTGCAATTTACGTAGCAGTCTACGATTCGAGTCGGTGGGATATCTATCATAGGCTCGGGTAGCCGCATTCTTGCGTCTCAGCAAGTCTCGCACATCGTCTGGCAGGGCCCAGCGATGGTCTTCCATCGCTGGAACCTGTCTCGAGCATTGCTCGACGACGGTGTTGACGTGGCTTGTGAGGGCTCGAATTGCGGTTTCCGTGTCCTGTTTGGTATTTAATTCTCTAGGGATTGAATCTAGTTGTGGAGGATTAGGTTCGTTAAATTTAGATCTAATTTTATGCCAGCTGATGACGGTTTTGGTTAAGGGAGCGGCTGTTGCTGAAGGCCCTAGCCGGAGGAGAACTGGTCGGTGATCGGAGTGAACTGTGTGGTCTTATCTTTTTATATATAATTATGTAACTATATATTATACACAAAAGTGTTTAAGTATGAAATTAGCAGGAGTCATGGGACTTGCAAGTGCAGAGTGTAAGAGTCATTTCCATACATTCTTGTTCTCAGTATATTCTCCGACATTATCATAGGCCCTTTTTATTAGGGTATCAAAATATTTGAAAATGGTTATACTTTGTTGGATGTCACCTATTCTTTATATAATGTTAACACATCTAACAAGAGATGATTTTCTGGTTTTAGCCAGTCCAATATCAAGGTTTTTCCAGCGTGTTACCGCGGCCCCGACGACATGTGGTATGTTTTTTGTAAAAAGATGGTGATTATTACTATACAGCAACGGGCGCGGATTGTTTTGGATAAAGATCATTCCTTCCTTATTTAACTCTTGATACAATCGTTCTGCCCTCGACAGAGACCTTAATGAGAGCAGACGCGACTCCCAATCTTAATTTAAAGAAATGTCGTATAATGACAATATTATAATACGTTCTCTAACTGTGGTAGGGGTGGGTAGCAGCCTTTGGTGTTGCACGAAGGGCAAATCAACTGCAAAGGCAACAGTTTTGTTGATATCCAAAGGCGTTACTTAACATCAGTTGAAACGCCTGCTTCGTTTGCAAAAATTTTGCATAAAAAAAAACTGATGTTTTATTAACATTTTTAAGTTATAATTAATGATACGCCTTTGATGACAATAAAAAACTATATTTAATTGCCATGCAACAGACGTTAATAAACATATGACTCATACATTAAAACCAGCTAACATCAATCTTTGTTTTTTATGACTAACATAAGTTTGCCATTTGATTTGATCGTATTAGTGATAAAGATCAAAGAACACACAAAATAACTATTAAGAGTAAACACAAAAAAGTACATACAGTGAAACATAGAACCGCCTCCTTTTCGGTTAATAAATGATGCTTAATAACTTAAATTTTTGCAAACATATTTAGCGTCAACATGGTTTAATGCGAAATACCTATACGGTCCTTATATTGAATTAAAATATGCAAAGACCTGCGGATGTATTAAAAGGCCTAAGTTTATTAAATATCTTTGCAGCATAATAGATGACCCCTTGTGAACACTTGTTTGCCCACAAAATAGTGACTTGTCACCAGAGTCCAAACAGTTTTGAATACTAATTAAATTAGACCATGGGAAAATGATGATCAATGAAAAATAACATTTGTTGCCTAATCCGTTACACGGAGCTTGGCAGATATCACAGCTTATTTTTTTTATACGCTCGCATGTTGAATAGCTCCGAGTGAAACAAACGCTGCGGTCAAACCAGCGTCTGTTATAACCTATACTAGAGTCTTGCTGAGTCAAATCAATATAAAAACACGCTCTTCTAAAGAAATATTAAGGCCGATTCGTAAGAAGCTGACGTAGACAGCTCGCTTTAAAATCATTATACCCGTTGCTGGAACTAATGAACTCGTTTAATGCAATTTCAAGTCTTCATGAGATGTATATTTAATAAATAATATAATAAATGTCTCAAAGATACGTGAACTCTGCCAATCAACAGTGAGGTAAACACTATTCAGAGGAGGTCTTTGCCCTCCTTGTAAAGTTTTTGTGACGGGTCATTTAAAAGGTCGTTACTTTATTAAATACCTTTCCATAGCGTTTGAGTTCTTTATCATGTGCTACTTTAGTATAACGGCGTAATCCTTATTTAAATATGATACGTGTATGCGAAAAGTCTAAACTCTGCTACAATACAATATTACACAGTGTCTATTTTTATAAAAAGTTCGACTATAGATGTCATGAATAAGCATATACCAAGTTTCTTAAGTTGGATTTAAGAAACAATCTGGGTATACAAATTGCGGCTGCGTTAGTTAATAATTTTTCGTAAAATATTGTTCACGTACTCATAACACAATTATCGATATCTTTCGGTTTTGTGGCAAAAGCACTCATGTGTTTACGAATTGCGTCGGTGTATTCGTTGCGGTTGTCAACTTAGCAAATTGATGAAATAAATAAATCACAAAGGCAAAATGAATCATAGTTTGGTAATTGGAAGCCAACGCGCACACTTTTCCTGTATGCGTTGCTCGTAAAGTCGTAACCGACAAATATGCCTAAGATATTTGTGATATGCACGTCCACAAACGAGTCAATAAACATTGGAATGGACATGTAGAGATAAATACGTTTAATCGGAAACGCGCGCTGGGGTTTGAGTTCACTTTGATGAGCTACAATCATTTATAACAAAGGAGGTTTAAATAAAACCTCTGAGGTGCCATATAAACCTTTTTTTTTTCATTTCTTTAACTGAAAATAAACATTTGCGATGAATTAGGAGAACGCCAACGTGATTTTTTAATAACGGATGTTGTCCGTTCATCGTTTAAGGCCCCTCAGAAACGGATGGAATTATCGAGTTGAGATTGATATCAAATAAACGGCTATACGGTCGCTTAGCGTTGCTAAGATTGAAGCTCAAGTCAATGAAATGAAAAGATCATTACCATGATCGTTCTAAACGTCGGGAATAAAAATTAAAATAAACGCGAAAAATCCGTAAAACTAGTTTCATTTATAATTACATGTTTTGATTACACGCTCACTCATCACGAAACCTAATGTGGTATGTTTCCCTTTGGCGCTGTTCTTGATGTATGAAGTTTGGCAAGAGGCAAAACAATGCACAGCGCGAATCTTGTACGCATTTAATCTTATTACTTGCGCAATAGTCGTTACATTTATTCCGTTTAAATTTTACCGTTGACCTGTTAGCGGGTAAACTTTTGTTACTCACTGTATTGATGAGATCCTTGACATCCTTCAGCTGTCTGAATAGCCGGATGAACTTCTCTGAGGCGTCGTTCCTGCGTATTTCCTGTTGCTGCTTTTCCCACACCGTGCCGATGCAGTGACCCACGGCGCCGCAGTCTGCGGCGACCCTAAACGCAGAGGAAATCGCAATAAAACCGGCCAAGTGCGAGTCGGACTCAGGCACGAAGGCTACCGTACCATTATCAATAAAACGGCACGAAAATCGTGTCTATTGTATGGGAGCCCCAATTAAACATTTTTTAATTCTGTTTTTTATTTTTTCGTTGTAGCAGCAACAGTAATACATCATCTGTGAAAATTCTCACCATTCAACTGTCTAACTATCAAAGTTCATGGGATACAGCCTGGTGACAGATGGACAGACAGCCAAATAGACACCGGAGTCTTAGTAATTAGGTCCCGTTTTATCCTTTGGGTACTCCATCATCCTCATGTTCATCATCATTTAACGAGTTTCTGATTTTAATTTGTTTGCAATTTGAGTGCGCTGAGCCTAAAACCTAAGCATTTAAGGCCCCTCCCTTTATTATCTTGCTTCTTAATAAAACCACTAGATGGAAAGGGCAAGGCAACTTTGCTTTCATTTCTACTTACCTAAGATTCTGGCACCAATAAGAGGGCCCTTTGGCGCATTCTTTTGGGAGCTGTCGCGCCGACACGATACCTGAGAAAGAATAATACTCATAACAAGTTGTTATAAAGCTTCAAATCGCCAAAATACAGAAAGTCTGTCATATTTTAATTGCAGAAGTAAATTTAAAATATTATACATTACATATGGAGAACATATACATTACATATTAGAACCCTATATTCGTCACACAATATTTTCGAGTAGTGGGGATCGAATTCACACCTTATGGCGCAAGAGACACGATTACTATCCACACCGTCAACTGGGTCGTCAGAATAAAATAAATTATTAAAAAATACATGAAGGCGGCTATGGTTGACTATGGCATTAAAATATAATAATTAATTTTTGATACGTACTTTAATTTAAAATTATACGCGATAGTTCCGAAAATAAAAAAAATATAGTTAAATTAAATATAGTTTAATTTGAATATAATTGGAGTATTTTCGAAAATCAAAACTCTCGCGGCTTTTGTTTATATATCAGAACGTCCGTTGTATCTGACATATAGCAAATTGTTCAAATTGTTGGGTTGAATTATGTATAATGTACGAGTAATTATGTATACTGCGTAGCATTTACACGCATAGCCAGCCCCGCAAAGGTTTAACTTAATGTAATTAATGAAATATTACGATTGTCACAATCCTAAGTACATGATAGTGTTACAATTCTGTTTAATATATCCGAAATATTCAGTCAAGATGATATAGAAAGTATCGCTCAGTAAATTTACACGTCAAAGAAACAATAGCGAAAGCTGTTGTATGGAACGAAACCGGCGTCGAGGTAAATGACCCTTAATCAAAATTGTGTACACAAACCTTGCTTCATAAGCAATACAGCGGAGGCGTGAAGTAATTAAAAATTTAGAGAAGTATGTAAAATTTTGCTATAATTGCATATGCACGAATAGCATAGCAAATACGTACAATAACAACAGTCACTATCTTCATAGGCAAAATTTCACGTATATTATTAAATATTCCGTAGCGCAGTTGCCAAAGTATTGGTTTCGGCGTTAGGGGCCGTGGGTTCGATTCCCACACGGGACAACTATTTGCGTGACCCACAGATAGTTGTTTCGCATCTGGGTGTTTGTCTGCGTGAAATTTATGTTTGTAAAACGTCATTACAACACAGGATAATATCATCCTAAAATAATGGCAATGTTTAAAAAAAAATATCTTATAGTAAAGTAAAACCTTGTTTAAGAAAATATGTTTGACAGAGACATATGTTGAGCTATCAACTTTTCAGAGCATGCCTCTAAAATAAAGCTATTCAAATCTCGAGTGTTGCGGCCCCATCTCGATCGAGCACAGAGCACAAAGGTGCCACAATTATTTTAGTATATAAAGTCCGGTAAATAAAAACTATAGATACGAGCAAACCGGTTTCCTCAAGAAAGTGACGTGCAAGCCACTAGGCAACTGCTTGTATCAAAGCGCTGCATAATCTGTTCGCGTCATTGTTTAGGACGGAAGTGATGAAACAGGATAAGGGGATATCGGGTTTATCAAACAACGCGAGACCGCGGCAATTAATCGGATAATATACATTTCATTTTTTGTGCCCAAATAGCATTTTAATCGACGGCTTTATTTGCTTTTGTAAACCTGCACGATATGCACAACGTTAATATAAAACAAAAACTTATGACGATGATATAATTTCTATTGTCAACTCTGTTCTTAATTTTTTTATTCAATTCGAGAAAACTTCTTAAATCCAGATAGTTTTTTATCAGGTTAGGTTTCTAGACCAAAACTTGAAAAAGTTTTCAAATAGCATGTTGACTACTAATACTATTATTCGTAAAGTAAAATTATCGAAGTATCCAATATTGTTTGCGAAATTGATCTCTTACTGTATTTACATATCAAGGAGAGAGACATCATATAATTTGAAATTGTTAATTTAAACAAGATTATTTTAAATCCTTTGCGTTGCTGGCGTTTTAGCCCATACACCCAGATAACTCCACAGCCGGCTATATACTCACGCATCAGAGTATTTAAAAGTAAATTTGGTCTTGCGTGCCATATTAGGGCTCACAAAAGAAATAGCATATCCTATTATTATGCAAGGGCCGCATTCCCCAAAACCGATGACGAAATAGTGATTAAGCGAAATAGTGAGTACAACTGTAATGATTACTGGACGCAAAAAATTTAAATTTAAAATTTAATTTTAATTAAAATAATTGATGTGTGTCACCGGAACTCGAATTCGCGACCCGCAAGCCCTATTATCCAGCAACTAAGACATCACAGACTTTGACACAAAAGGCAATAATGTTTACATAAGAAAATAATGTTTAGGAATTAAGGGTGAATGATAACATCAATTTATTAATGTAAACATAGCAAAGTAGGGACCGTTGCCTTACTCTAAGTCATTAAATTTCAATAGTGATAATTAAAAGAACATAACTCCATACTTTACTTTTAACATTTCTTTTAATGTTAAAATTTCTGTATCATATATGTAGATATAAACATCAATTCTTTATCTTTATAACATTTATACAATAAGCTGACTAGATAGTGAATTTTAAATATGAACAAAGTTATCAAATTAATATGAATATATGGGTACAATGCACCTATTTATCCAAAAACCTACTAAACCATAACAAATTAGATATCGAAAAAAATTATGAAAAAAGGCATTATTTATTGTGGTTAAAAATATATTTGAAAACATGAAAAAGCAAATAGTTCAACATTACCAAGAACTTATGACAAGGTTACATACAAAGGTAAGGCATAAGGTGTTTATACAAATGTAGATGGTACAATATTGTCAGCAATGAATAATATTAATTTATATTAATTTTTATTCATAAAATTAAATTACAAGAACTAAAATGTTTGGTAAAATTTTGAAACGAGTGGATTTTTTTTATTATTCGCATCTTCGAAAACACTGAAATTTACGTTCCATTTCACATTACGTAAGATTTTTAAATTTTAAAAAATAGCTAATTAAATATTTTTTCCCGTCTCTGGCAGAAAATAACGCGAGTGCTTGGTACAAACCTCCTTAAACCCCCCAAACTTACAGAGTACTTGAATTCCGGTGACTCGTTTCAAAACCCAACCCAAAATATTAATCTACAAAATATTTGATTGTGTCAATGACAAGTGGTTAATATTGCCAATTTATTGACCACTGCTATATGTTTTATAGCTAAATTTACATACTTTTAAACACAATTTTTTTTGCATTACTTTATATCCAAAAACATCTGGACTTTTCCTAAACCTTAGTTAGTCAGATAAAACTGAATTCTAAAATAAAAGTTAAAATTTAACTCTAAAACAAAATAGATAAAATCATAGAAATGAAGAAAACATAACTACACTTTATTATATCATATGTCTATATGTCATAAAGTAATGCAGAGGCAGAGTTGAAAAAAACAAAGATACTGTTATATGTTGTTATCAATAGTAAGTACAATCAAAGTAGCCATAATTAGAACATAAATAATAAAAATGATTCATTAAGAGGTCACCACTGGCAATAACAAGTATAACAGTCCGAAGATAAAAGGAATGATTTACTTGAATTAAAATAAAGTGAACTTTTATTAAGAAAGGTTAATACATAAAATTCATCTATTTTCTGAAACTTTAAACAATCAAACATTCCTAAAACTTAAAATTTGCACCTTAATAACATTTACATTCACATTATTAGGGAAGCATATAAAATAAATTAAAGGAATTGATGTATGCAAAGGTGTTCATTAAGTATAATTATATTAAAACTTCTATTTCAAAGGTTGCCTTTGAATGCATCAACCTTTTTTGCCTTTGTACTTATAACTATATAAAATACATAAACTGATCAAATAAAAAAAAAATATAAAATTGTTTTAACAAAAGTTGAATGATTCACACTCTGTTACTCACCGTCTGATCAAATTTCCTGTTATGATCAACTGGGCGACTGTATTAATGCAATATGATAGTCCTTTATGAAGAAATAACAATTATAGAAGAACAGAAGTTTTGTGTTACTACTGTTTACATTTTTAATTTCTTCTAAATTTATGGATAGTAGAATTTCATTTGTTCACATAACTTTTTCTTGACTTTTTAATACAAATGTTTTACAAAAGCTTAGTTATCAAAGATAATACAATATATTTGGATAATTTTTAATTTCATTTATTTATTTATTAGGCATGCCGCATTAGATGCATGAGTTGTTAAATTAAAAAAAAATTATATGAAACATGAATTAATGTTACAGCTTAATGTAGATCTAATTAAGAGGCAAACACACCATGCTTAAAATTAAAGTAAGTAGAAAAGTATGAGAAAATATTGTTAGACTTCCTTATTACTAAATGAAAAAAAAAAAAACAAATTTCAATATTTCTAAGGCAAAGAGTAAAAAAAGAGGGTATTACTTTCCATTAGTTTCCGGATGTTCTTCGACCAAAAAACAATTTTATTATATAAGCTACCGCCGAATTCTGCTTGTGGAGCATTTCATTAATGATTTTTGTTTACCGAATAAAAATTATTTAGATCGAAAAACAAGGAAATTTTTACCTTGGCATTTTTTTTACACTCTATACATTGCAACTCTATCAGCCAGCATGAGCTTGCAGGTAAAGTAATATTTTATAACGATACAATATTTAAAATGAACCTATGACTGTATTTGCAATATTTACTAAGATTGAATTTCATGGTTTTCAATTGACAAAGACAATGCAATAAGGCAAGTTGTATGTTATTTAATTTTCATAAATACGTATATTGCTTTTATTATGACGCTGTATACTTATGTACATTAAAAAAAAGTATAGTTTTTGTAAGTTGAAAACTCATATACTTATTGCAATGTGTAATAATTGAATATGTGTTATAGCGTTTAATATCAGCTTAACTTACATCACACTACGATTTCAGCACAATAAAAAGTAAAAACGTTACAAAACGGAAACAATTATACGTCATAAATCCGATTAAATTATACCTACGTAAAAATATTCAAGAACTTACCCGAAAAGCATAGCAGAGAAAATAGACAAACACTTAAAAGGTTTGTCATTTTCGAAAACAAATAACTCCTTTTCGTCTATTTTTGTACTCGGTTCTGTAAATGACTAATGTTAAACAAATACCCGAAAATTTTACTTTGTTTGGAATCTTTTGCGCATCGATTTGCTAAACAAGTGTCAAGTCACCAACCACTGCAAACTGCAAAATAAAATAACAATTCATTCAAAGATTAAAATAAAACACAGACACTCTTCTTACTTCTATATTCTACACCGGTTTTAAACGAAACATCGACTCTCAAGATACCTGTTAATAACATCGATTTTATGCAACCTTATCTAAACTGTATGTAGGGTAAAACATTTTTAAATAATACAACATATTTTATATTACTGTTTGTATATAATTTGATAGTGAAATATTTTTTATATAAATTTTGAATTAATCGAAGGCTAACAAAGTGGTCAAAGATTAAGTATCGATTTGTGTCATCGATTATGTGAGATTTTCGAAGTACGTAAGTTATAAATTCACAGTGTTTTTCAAAAAAAAGTTGTAACTTAAATTTATATCTGCAAATTTAATTGCATTTTTTATTTTCTGTATAAATTTACGTTTTATTGATATCTAGTGTTGTGAAAGAAAATATTACTAAAATTATAGTAATACTACTCGACGCAAGATGGCAGTAAATGTTAAAATTTGTTTTCTAAGTGATAATAGATGGCAGGCCTGACGGTTTTAAGGCCAAGGGAACATCAGGCAAAACTAAGTAGATGTTCAGCATAATTAAATGGAGTATCAACCATGAAACCATTAAGAATTGGGCATGCTTCCGCTTACATCCTACTTGCTACGTTAAGTTATTAGGAATAATAGACTTGGATTAGATTAGGGAACCACAGATCATATATATTTTTAAGTGTCTGACTTCGAAGTTATCTTCCTGCTCAATGATTAACTTCTTTCCTAAATTTCTAATTCACCAAATTTGGCTCTAGTTAACAATTTATTTATAACGAAAAATCAAGAGTACACGACGAACTCACGGTAGGTGAAATAATTATCTATAATTATGTCACGCAGAGTTACTCTAGTTATAACTTAGTTTAACTGTGTTCTATAATAATTAAAAACGTGATTGGCGTTTGAAAGGACGCCAAAAGAAAGAGGAAAAGGAACTAGTTTTCGAAAGAATTTATGAAATAAAATAAAATCACGGGACTGTGTACTATAATTATTATGTAATATGTAACAATCGTTAATATTTTAATTGATTTTGGATTTTACACACATAAAATATCTAATCCCTTGTTTCTACCAAGGAATTAGATTCCTTCTATCTTAGTTTCATTGCAGACATTGAAATCCACCACTGGTCAAATAAACTAGTGATTTCTTTTTTAGTCTAAGATTAAAGTGATATTAAAATAATAAATCAATTAAAAAAAGGTACATAAGAAAGTAAAAAAGGTATAAAGAGTCACCTAAAAGGTTTTATTTTTAAATTATCTGAAAACATATGGCATTAACAAAGATTTAATATAAAAACTAAACAACACCATTACAATAAATTTTCATAGTATAAAACAAAGTCGTCCCACTGTCCGTCTGTCCCTATGTATGCTTAGATCTTTAAAACTACCGTACCCAACGGATCTTGGTGCGGTTTTTTTTACTAGATAGAGAGATTCAAGAGGAAGGTTTATATGTACAATACATTAAACGCGTGTGAAGCCGGGGCGGATCGCTAGTTGTAATAAAATTAGTAATACTTAAATGTAATGAGGAACCGTAGATAAAGGTTTATTGTTCGACCTACTGAAGTGTGAAGTTTAAGAAAGACTAGGTGGTTCCAATCCAAATATGGCAAAGTGGATTTAAGTTGAACATAAGAGTTTTCGTTACGACTTGGTTTTACAAAAGCTTTAGATTTTATATCAATTATATACCGCTTCTATTCGTTTCGGCTACTCAAGGGGGGAAATTTCTAAGACATATAATTTAACCTTAAAAAACATTATTTAATAAACAGAGACGTACTCATCTGACTTATTGTTAAAAGAAGGCAGAAGTTACTATTAGAAGTGATATTTTTTTTTCTTTCTAATAACGGACTAAGATTTTAATTATTTTTTATTATGATCACTATGAAACACTAATGGGAAGTGGGTTTTACTTTAGTTAATCACGTGGAGAAGGAATATGCCCCTTATAACTACTAATATACGAAGGAAAGCATTTTTTATTAATTGAAGTTGAAAAAACTTAAATCATAACAAGGGTAAGTTTCAAAAGACACAAAGCCGAGCGAAAGTTAACAAGTTTAAACACCACAAGGAGGAAAATGTAAACCGACGAACCGGGAAAGATTTTATAACCCGATATGGTACGAACCAAGCAAAGTTTCCGTTAAATGATTGCCCCTCCCTAAACTCCGTTTGCCTAGTGTAGGTGGGTGTACAAAGAAAACGAAACGAAATAGGTATTACCTTTTCCCAGGTTAGTTTTCCCGAAGACACAATTAGGCGGCGTTCCCCGGGGAAGGCGCGGGCCGGGTCGGTCGTGTAATAAAATTAAGAAGGCGCCCCGGGCGAGCGGTCGCGGTAAGTCGGTGCCGTCGGTGAGCATAAAACAAATCCGACGCCGGCCCGTGGAATAGAGCTGTGGCGGCAGTGGAGCCGCCCGCAATATTCTTACTAAAATTTTTGGAAGCTTGCGCTGAAACATTCTATTCCTATTATTCATCGGCTTATTACACCCTTTTTTTCTGATGTTCATTAGATAGACAGTAATAACCACCGCCAGTAGACCTTTACAACACCAGGGGCGGTGCAGTTGCCAACAACTGAAACTTCTCCGGTAATTTCAGTCACCGAATGAACACAAGACTGTACTTATTTTACGCCGATCCTCTATATAATCCCGGTACTTTTCTAGCCGACAGCTTCAATATGTAGCCTAGATTATTCGTGGTATTCATCTCACTTCGTTGTGGCAGCGAAAGCTTTTGTGATCAAAGAGTAAGACAGTATTTGTTACAGAGTGCCTCAAATATAATTTTATATACTCACACGTCTTTATTATTTAACAGTCCAAAAATTACATAAATACGTAATTTTAGAACCGATAAATATTAGTGGGACTTAAACAGTTTTGTTATTGAAAACAAGTTTCAAATCAATACTATTATTTGATTTAATTACTCATATTTAGTTATCAAAAACACAATTACAGAGCACCACAGCTTTCTCAGTTATTTTTGGAAGAACGTTTGCGTAAAAAAATAAACTTCCTTAAAACGGGAATTGACAGGTAAAATAAGCGCTGCAGGGTAAATTAAACATTTCAAAATGTATCATACAAGTCGTTGTATATTTAAAACGGCATTGGGCAAAGCGAGAAAGCGAATTTTAGGTTAGGAATTTGTTTCGAATGTGTCATCTATCTAACTTTCCTCACTTTACGACTTTAAATGTACCGTAGACATGTAGCAAAACCACAAAAAAATCATCGTTATCCTAGTATTAAGATTACAAATTATTGAAAATAAGTACTTCAACCGTTTGTTTTTTTTTTTATATCAATAACGACTCTACATATGCGGGCACGTATAGCGTGTTCACATATTCTGAATAACACTTCAATAGCGTCGTCTGTAACGTACTGGACATCCTTGTTTGTCCTCATACTGCCGCCCACGTGATGTGACTGCGCACGCCCACTTATGCCCTTTATTTGGATATCAAATCCACTTTTATTTCGTACTTTCCCGCGGCGAACTTAGCTTATAAGAGTCCTTGAAGATTGCAATAAAATAAATTGTTCAGATGACTCGAAATAAGAATTAAATAGTTATTGAATTTTTCTGTAAATAATCATTTTTACAATTTGTTTATTAAGGTAAATCAGCATATATATGTTTTTCCCATTGCTGAGGACAACTGTTTATAGAGGGTACATTACCTTTTATAAATAGTTGGCCACCACGCGACCGCACTGCGGATTAGCAGACTTCACATATCTTTGAAATATTTTTTGGTATTATTTAGAAAATATGCAGGTTTCCTTTTCTTTTACATTTACTTTTCCACATATGACTGGCAATAATTGCATCTTTCTTTCGTTCCCTTTTTATTTTCTCTTTAAGCCTTTTAAAGCGTACCTATTTAATGAAGTTAATTACGTGCGATAATTAGTCTATATGGAGCTTCATTGATCGTACTTTTACAATAAAAAACATAAGAGATTTTTGCACTAGTGATATTTTATTTATTATTTTTAAACTTTTGTGTATCATTAAAATTATAAAATATTGTGTGATTTTAAGCCATATTAATCTTTCTCGACGATACAAATAACGCAGAAATGAATGGCATCGAACGAAAAATCGATAAATTAATACGTTTTGGGATCAATATTACGGAATCAAATCGACTTGCATAAAAAGGTCTGTTCATCAGCTGTGAACACTGGAACGCATTAGCTTTGCTGGCCGCACAACGCTAGTCTACTAAACGTCACATGACCCAGTAATTAGCTGGGGTGCGTGAAAGCGGTCGCCTTGCGGTAGAGCCGGTCTGCGCGGAATATCTTGGCGCCATCTTGCCGTTCTATGTGTGTCCCGCGCGAACAAATGAACCGCCGCATAACATACGGCCGGGATCGAGTGGAGTCGCGAAGTTGGCCGGCAGTTAGGGGAGATTTGTCGCGGGCCCGCTCCGATGGCGTGTACCAGTGCTCTCGTAAGTAAAAATTATGATTATCGCCCGCCGTCCGTTGATCCCTTGATCCCCAGCTAACGGCCAAGACGGACTCGCCTTTTCCTCTACGCCCTGAATAACTCTTTTTTATCGCCCCGTCGGCTGCACCGCCGTTGCCCGCTGGATTAGCGGGGCTAACTCGCACACCGCCCTGGAGCACCTTGATAAATTTCACGCGAGCCGAACGACGATTTGTGCTTGGTTTCCTTTGGATGCTGTGCGCCGCTATTTGTTTTGAACGCGAAGGTCAAGGTGTTGAAGCAATGCGGACTGCTTTTGAATAGTTTTTTTATATGATTATTGATTTACAAACATTATATATATAATACATAATTAAAACCATCGAATTCACAAATGAGATCGGATTCATTGTCTCGCAACCGCGTACAGTTTACAAATGCAACAAATGTTTACAAAATTCGGGACCAAAAAATCTCCGTGAATCTAGATAAAATAGACTACCTATGTAGACTTAGCATGCGGTAGACCATATCTCGTAAATTAGTTAAGTTTCAGCACTCAAAGTCCTAATGTCGCGATAAAGATTTCGTTATGTTATTAGATATTAACGCCAGGTCCTCATATTGATCCACTCGGTCAGTTATGGTAGGAGCGACAGCCTCAGCAGCAATCATAAACGTAAAAATGTTATTTCACGCGTGTAAATATAGAACCTCTATCACTCTGCAAAACTCTGTGTCTTTTGTTCTTAAGTGCTACGTAACAGCTACGTCTTGTTACATCAATAAAAATGACTTCATAAGGTTATTTGCATCATTGTTGTATAATGCTTTTATTATTTGCGATCTAATTGATGCCTTTGATGAGACCCTTTCATAATATGCAATTTATGATAAAACCTCTCTGCGTCGCCGAAATTTATTACGGCATCACTTGTTAAGGCCAGTACCTCTTACTACGAGTAAAAAAAGTAAAGTGGATGAATATTTCTATGATTCTTGATTTTTACGAAGACCAACAATATAATCTAATCTAGTTTTACATAAACTTTTATCCCTATCAAGCATAACGTGAGCCGCAATTTCGGATTTTCGCTTAACTCGATCCTTGAAAACCACTTCCGCCTCTTTTAAGTGAATGCATCGACACAATGATGCATATAGCAAATAATTTCTACGCCACATCCTAGACTATGTCCCCAATCTGGGATATAAGCCTCCATCTAGAGCCTAGGGTATGGCGTAGTCTACCAATTTTACCGAATCATAAATTCTTTTTCTCAGAAGAAGTAACCGGAATACTCAAGTACCCAGTAACAGAGAACAATACTCGATCGACGCTGTGTACATATCGAATTTTGAAGAATGTTTAGAAGTTCGTATAGAAGTATTGAAGTTTATAGTGGCAATTTACATTTGAAGTATGTAGTTTCTGCGGCAAAAGTCTGTCTGCTGTTTTAACATGAACATTGTCTGAAAATTTTATTATGATCCATCCAGCCGATTCAGATTCCATTAGGAATACACGAACCGATTTTTATATACAATAATTATATAGATGTTTTACCACAAAATTCTACCGTCTACCGTGGTAACCAATGTGTTGCTTGTTCAAAGCACCACATCATTAAGCCTTAAAACTACCATTCTCACATGATTGCTTTTTATAGGAAAAAGTATTATAATGGTCACTGAAATCGATGAACAGACTGATAGAATTTTCTTCAGTCCGTAGACTGAATAATATCGTTATTTACGAAGCATACCTAAGTATCAATTTTCTGTACAGCGTCTAATTCAAATCAACCTAGTGTGTACTTACAACAGTCGTTTAAATTAAATGAACGACATCGTTGTTTGAATCTGCTTTAATTTTCTTCAATCCAAGTCTGGGCAAATGTAGAACTATATTAGCTTTTATAAGTGCAATACATAGACGGTCGTCGGTCCCGAGAAACGGGGGCTCGCGCAGCCTGACGGTCGATTAAGGAAGCAAGTGCAGTTGCCTTGGCGACGCCGCCATCTTGCCCCCCCCCCCCCCCTCCCCCCCACCGGGGGACCCTCACCCACTGTAAACAACCCGCTGTTTCGTTGCACTGAAACACTCGATATATTAAAAAGGTTCTGCGAAAACGCTGCCCCGGTAAATGCGGCCATTATTTGCATGATAACTTTATTATTATAAAATTCAATTGTTATCTATTTGTCTCAAAGAGCGATGTCATTGAAGGTATTAACTTTTAATATAATAATTAATATACGCGAAGGACAAATGTGTATTAATTAAGCTTTAACACTAGCTTAAACTGGAATAGAATAGAATTATTATTAATATTCTTTACTGCACTAAAGGAAAAACATAAAAAGAAAATATAAGAAACATAGTGTACATACAGGCGGCCTTATTGCTAAGGTAGCAACTTCTTCCAGGCTTGTTCATTACAAACATTTATTTTGTATTGCACTTCACACATTCCAATCTACTTTAATTAAAATTCTTCATATTCAATGTTGCATAGGAAAAATTTGGATATTGAGATCGATCAGAATTGTGGTAGGCCCACGTAACAGGTTTCACTGTTTCACTGTATCACGATTGGGCAGGTTCATTCGGGGAAGAACTATGACATCACAGAAAACGGGAGTGAAGCAGAAGTGTTACTCTTCTGTGTTTTCTCTGGTGAGTGAGGTAGCCGGGGCCCACTTCATGCAAAGGTTGTTCGAAAACTCGATTCGAAAGTTTGATTGTTGCAAATACCCATTGACGGCGGTACATCAGGTTAATTGCCAGGTTAAAAAAAACAAGAATTAACTCCTTACATATTATTTCATTGCCTGCAACGAAGGCGTATTTTCCAAGTACAATTTTACACATATTTTTCGATAGGGTTCGTTTCTTTTTAAGAATCAAAACTTTCTCCAAAAAATTGGCATGAATAACCTGAGGTTTGGTGTTTCAGACTTATAATATTGAACAAGTAGAAACTTAAAAAGCAAGTAGAAAAATTATATACGGGATCTTAGCAACAACAAGCGGAAGCGCACGGAAATATCTCCTTCAACGTGCACTTTTAGGCGGAGATTAATTCACCGTGTCCCGTAAAAAGGGTGGTCCAAAAACGGGCAAACGCCGCCCTCTAAATGAACGGTGATTGTTCTATTTCACGTGAACGGCCACAAAGACAAATGCCCGCCATTACTCAAGATTAGGGCCGCGCTACTCCAGCCCCATTGCGGGGCGAATTAAATCATGCCACTCGCACAATTTACATTCGGTTAATTAAGCAGATACTTTCGAAAGGAACCGCTTTCTGTCTATCGCGAGGATTGAACTTGCATAAACGTTTCAGGTGGCTGTAATTTGCATTCGTTACAATTTCTAAGACCCCATGATATCTATAAAAAGTAACGGATCTCTAAGAAAACTATGAGTTTCTTAAATATCTCAAATCGATTCATAACCTGCATCATCATTTCAGCCTGTTTGGGTCCACTGCTGAACATAGACATCCCCTACAGACCGTCACGAAGCAGGACCCCGAGCCACGTGCATCTTAAACTTGATAATACATTAAAAACACATAAACGTTTTTTACGCTACGTAATCTTAATTAAAAAAAATATAAAAACCAAACGCAATCGCATAATCGTGCATAAAGTAGAATGCGCCCATATTCGCAAAAAAAAAAACTAGCATGCTCAATTAGGTGTGTTTCCCTGAAGATATTTCAGTCCACACCATTATTGATACTCCACCGAATTCTGTATGTAGAGATAAGAGCTTAAATTAGGCCTATATTGAATAAAGACATTTTGACCTTGAGTTGACATGAATTGCACTTTTTCTTCAGAACACGCTCGTTAGTACCGTTCCTCTGGACCAATCTTTCCACGTATTCTCGAGCAAACCATAACCTAGCCTCGAAGTTCTCTGAGGATGGGAGCCATTTGCTGGCCTATAATTAGGGTGTACGAGTATATCAGTGACACAAGTTTGTCGTAGAATAGTGTCAGAGATTGTTTGTTGTGGTGAATTTCTTTAAGCTGTGTTTCGTACCTAAGATGTGAACTCGGTGTGAAGTCGGTCATCTCGTATATTTATTTAAAAACTTTTTGCACAATAGCGTACAATGGCGGAATTAATACTATTAGGTGTCCTCTACCAATCAACCGATAAATGCATGTATGCTCTCTTTGGACCGTAGCCATTGATAGTCCTGCCTGCACGGCCATAGCAGTACGGAAGAAGTCGGCATACTTCTTACTTCTTGTTCCACAGTATAAAAGGAGATTCGTCAGTTAGTAGCGACATGATGCTGCACTGATTAGTGTGGTTTCTGGTCGTTGACTCAATCTCAGACATTGTTTAACAATACAATTCGATTTAAAAAAAATAATTTGCATTCTATATTTTTCCTAATTAAATTTTTTTTTAACCGTGACTTGCTACTTATAACAAACTATTTTTCTATGTGATCTAGTATTTTACGGCCCAGGGTGTCTGTGTGATGAAGCCATATATGAATAATCTGTCTATATCAGTTATATCATAAGTGAAAATTATCAAGTCATTGTGCCATCTAAAATAATAAAACGATATTATAGTACAAACAAACCCTTTTTACCGAATTTTAAAATAAATCGCTGTTGTAAGATTCTCTTTGATTGTTTTTTTAAAATTTGTTATTATTGAAAAGTAGACATAAGTGACGGTTTTATCTTTGTATGTGTATTGTTTCTATACATGTCTTAACATGTGTGTGTTTTGTTTCAATAGAATTTCCGTAGGATCGTCATGGTTGGGGTGCAGTGAAAAGTCAGAAATTATCACTGCAAAATTTCCTCCAGCATAAAGTTCCGCGCATTTCGCAACACACGGTAAAATACCCATTAAGTTTGTATTATTAAGGCCGGAGGCAATCTGTACGCCGTTTTAATGTATTATGTAGAATTATAAAGGCGTCGAGGCCCGCTTACTTCTTATGATTTATTCATGAGCAAGAACAACGTTAAATTTGAACATGCCCGTTTCTGCTACGGGGCTATTTCGGCGTAGGACGTCAAGTGCTTTGCACGCGTTATTTGTTTTACATTAGGAATTAATGCGATGATAATATTAGACGAGATGTAATAGACATTACAAAATAAGAAAAATAATATGATTTATTGCCTATGGTCCGAAATCATTTTTATAAAAGGGGTATGGAATATACAATTTTAATTAGTACACTTGTCAGCACACGAAACTACAACACGAAAGTCCGCTGTCAAAGTTAAAATTCTTGAATACTTCCATAACAGAAATGAAAAATTTGTACATAATATAAGAGAAAGATTTGAAAACTTTGTATGAGTTTTTCAATTTTCGCGAAAGGCTTAGCCGCGAAGTTTAATCAGTGAGGTTCTTTATGGAGAGCAATCTCAAAGGACATTCCGTCACTCAATACAAAGAGGGCACGGCAATATTGTTGTCTAGTTCACGCGAGGTTCGGCCGAATTTATTCACGAATATCCAGGCAAACTTCTTTGAACTCCTGAACAAAGCCAATCCGCGCCGGTTATACCGGATATTTCCCGCTCCGGCGCCCACCTTATTCGCAAACATCGAATCCGGAATACAATACAGTGCGAAGCGGAATTCGAAGGATAGATAATTTCGACGGAGAAACGAGGCGGAGGCGAGAGGGTGGGAGAAAAAAAAATATAAATTGAATAGTCGAATACACGCATCCCGGCATTACCATAAAGGCAACAGGGATCAAGCGGGATTCCACTACGAACTTTTTTATTCTCCTCCCACCTCTAAATCTCGCGGGGAAAGCTCCGCGAATCTGCAAATGTTGATTTGATGATGTCGCGTCGGAACTGAGACACGCACGTTCCTTTGATGTCCAATTCGCGGTAACTTTCCGCGTCACGCATTCTTATAATTCGTTTTATTGTATTATCCAAAAGACGTGTTTGTAGCTGTGATAGAGAAATCTTCAATTTTAAACGCATTTTCAGTAGGAGTCTATGATTTAATATTTTCCGATATAACAATTTATTATAATATATATATATAATAATTTATTGACTAAAAATTATTACTAAAGACACTGTGTTTAAACTTTTTAGTACTTTAATTTTATTATTGTTTAAATCCCGATTTACTTTTACTACGCTACTGTTGATTAATAATAGGCTTTAAAATTGAGAGATTTTCTAAAAACGAATTCCTGTGATTTCAGAAAATTGTTTTAAATTATTAAATATTTTTATACCTTAATCGAATAAGATAGCTATTAAATCTTTGTCAGTTATAGGCGAAAATTGAATCGTAGAAGCTATCAAGTTTTTGGATAAAAAGGTCCGCCTATCATCATTAATAAAAAATATGCTTTTATTAAAAAAATATAATTAAATTATTTTCTTTAGCCATGACAAATTTATAATTTAATACGTATGTAGTCGGATATTGTATAAAACAATGTTTTACAATTGATAGAACAAAAACGGAATACATGAACTTACAATGATGCTCAAATGTAAATGACATTATCAACATTGGCAGTTTTCTATGTTCTGTTTGAACTTATATAGTTCCGTCGTCGTAATGCCAAATTACAAGCATGTTAACTTAGCGATATATAGCACAGAAAATAGAGACCCGTTGGAGACTCCTTAAATGGGCAATAAACATATGAGGTTCACCGACAGCTTTTGGTTGTGAAGGTCGCGCGCTGTCTGGATTACCGAGCTTATCCATTTGTGGTCATTAAGGTACGTTAGATGCTAACCCTCCCCTCCCTCCCGCCCCCTTTCTTAAGGAGCCGGTTTTTTAATTCAACTTCCTCTCCCCCGCCAATTTGCATGATTACTTTCGTTTTTATGATGCTCCTTCGACGACTGCCGCCCTCAGCCTTGGCCTATGGCTGTTCGGATAATCTCAGTGTAAAATAAAATGTCTCCGCGCGTATCGTATAATTCTTTTTTTTTTTTATATAGTAACGCGTTAAATTGTGCAATGGAGATTGGAGTGTCCAACTTAAGAACGATCATCGAGGTAAAACGTCTGCTGGCATAGCGTTTAGTCTGTTCTACAAAATAACCATAATTAATAAAACATTTAAATAGTAGTCTAGCATTGTGCAGTAGAAATAATTAAACATTGTCTCATTAAAAGCAAATATGATTATTTGGAAGCGTTATAGCTAATTAAATGTTACTAATTAAATTGAGATGTTCATTAAAAGCAGCGCCATTTAACGTTCATCGTTCCTTGACCAATCTATTCATCATGTAAAATGTTTTGACATTAAATATTTAGGATAATGGTTTCGCAATAAAGTGCCATAAATAAAATTTCAGATCGAAGAGAAATCGTTCCATAGTCAATCTGCCACCCCATAACATTAGTAGTTGTTTATACAAAATCTTCTAGGCTTATATTCTGTCCGTATTACTACTAGCTAGCGACGCAATATCGTATATTGGAGTAGTTACGCGCGCGGCGTTATCGGGCGAACAATTTCGAAACAATTACCTTGGGCCCGATATCGCGAGATTAAGAAAGTCCACGGTCGGAATTAGGACCCGGGGCCCGAGGAATGGGCCGGAGGCGCTTCTTAACAGCCCGACTCCACAAATTGGGGACCTTAACGACGGCATAAAACTCGAGCCGCACTCCGTAGACGCCGCAGATTGTACTCAGACTTAGTTCAGGATTAATGGTGTAGAAAACAGATTATCATTGGCCGGATTTCTATTAGGGACCCCTGCCGCCGGCGCGTGAAAATCCACCGATGTTATTATTTTCCACGACGCGGAGACGCTCCCGGGTTTAATTCCATTAGCCCTCTGTCGGATTTGAGCGACGGGACGATAAAGTTTTTGATTCGCGACCGGGAACGCGAGCGAGATAGTTCCATTACGACGCGATCCGGGCGATGGTTGATTGTATATTGTATATTGATGGTTGATGGGTATGCGTAGGCATTTTCCCCACGCCAGCAAAAAAAAAGGTACGGCCTCACTATGGATGGCTGCCTGTACAAGGTTGCAACTCTACGGGTGTTGTAGATGTTCGTAGGCAGCGATTATCGCAGCTGATGAACCGGCAGCTCGCATGCCAATTCCTCACATAAAAATTTGTCAACGTATTTGCCAGGTTTCTTGGCCAGAGCCAAGAAACATCCCCAACGGGATAAATGTATAGTATCGTATATACTATACATTTATTCCGTGTTGTTAATAACATTGACTTATCTCTTGTTAATCGTTAATCGCCTTTAATTACCGTTACTAGTAATTCCGCAAGCGTTCAAGCCACTGCTTTGGATGCTTGTCGGGTGTTCAATATCTGGATTTTGCTAGCCCTAGAACTATATTTTTTACGCGGTCGAGGTCATCTACTCTTAGCTTCCACGAAGCCAAAAAGAAAGATTTTGTTTGACTTCGGGACTGTATAAGCTTTAGAGATCCCGTAATTGTGAATTGTAGGGATAGGTAAAACGAAAACACCAGTGGATAAAATAATTCAAAGCCTGGAACACATGTATAATTCATAGTCTTAAAACTACGAACAAATACCGTTTTAAGCTTGTAGACAACCGTGTATGAATCGAAAATCTATTTAAAAATGATATACATAATTACAGCCTTTATAAAAGATCCATCCCTGGACTCACTTTCTGGATCCAGTGCGGATTGGCACACTTCACATAAATTTGAAATATAGGTATATTATTTTTTTTATCGTTTTGATAATATGCAGGTTGTCTAAATTACTAAGCAATTAACAATATTATTGATGCCGGCACCTTTCTTGAAAACAATTTATATGTTTATAATTATGCGTCAAAGGCGATGCCATAATAACCATTTTTTATTAAACGGTTTTATTTAGCTCGGCCCATACGGAATTTGTTTGTTTATTTGGGTCAAAATTAGAAATTGAAATTTAAGCACCTTCCCGTTGTCAGATTGATCGGAAATTTGGTACACACACTTAATTTAGATGACAATACAATATTGTAGTTTTCAGTGCACATAAAATAAAACCGTTTAACTTTAAAGTTTTTAAACGGTTTTATTTACTAACGAAAAACAAAACCGACTTATCGCTATATCTCGGTCCGTATTCATTTTATAATTGATTTTCAGGAGTTCCCTGAGTATCTCCGGAGACCAAGGTCCAATACCAATGAAATTAACGTGGGACCACAAGGGAAGCACCAGCTTTCAAATAAAAAAAAGAATCATCATAATTGGTTCGCTCAATTAAAAGTTCAAGTTGAGAAAAGCAGGAGTCGGTTAAAAAGGATGGTTATGTGTTTTTCCTGTATGTATGTATATTGTATATCCATCCCTATGTTCCCTCGTAACGATCACCCGATTTTGATGAATGATTTATTATAACATTCAACTTTAATTTGCAAATGTCATTTGGCTCAAAGAAATTAGGAAAAATGAAAATGCTTATATTTATGTGCAAATATTATTATTCTTTCGCAGTCGGGTTCATTGTTGACTCGTCTAATCATACACATGATTCTGTTTAATTCACTTCTACTGCCTTAAAATTTTGTTGAAAAATTTACGAAAAGCTCTTTTGCTCCCGCGGGAATCGAAACTGCGTTTCGCGCCCAAACGCTTTAACCACTAAGCTTGGCTCATTGCCACGCCAAAATGCATCTATTGTAGCAATTTCAAATTAAATTTTACAACGTTAATTCTAAAGAGAGACATCGCTTTGCTTTGCTCTTAAAATATAAATTTTGAATGAAGTTTTTATAATGCTGATCTTTGCACATAAGATGAAACATTAAAATTTTTACAAAAATGGACAAAAACTTATTGTTATTATTTAATATTCTACTGCCTTGCAGGACGAATTTGACTGATATTATAAAAAAACAACGTCAGTAGATTTTTTGACTTTCGATCTCTTGTACTTCGATAATTGAAACGCCATATTTATTTTAAAGGTAAGTAAATAAAGGCAATAAATTATCTCCTACCAAATTTCTGACTTTCCGTAGTTCTTGTCGATAAGGCATATAATTTTATGAGAATTAATGACAGTAAAATCGCGCTAAGCGGTATGTTATAAATATGTAAGTAATAGGACAATATACACGGTGCTTATTAATCGGAAAATATTAATTTCCTAGATAAAGGAGGCAATGGCTTCAATTTGTATTTTGTGGTCGCAGTATCCGAAATATACTAAAGATTTGGGGGATTTTAAAAGAAGCCAAGCTACACATGCATGTTATACACGAAAAAATTAAGCTTCAAAAATAACTGGAGGCTTTAAATAACCAATAAAACACAAGACTTTTTAAAAGCAATTAATAGATGGAAACGGATATTTCTGGGAATATGTGTCTGATAAAGCTGTTAATAACTCTGAAGCAGAAAACATTAACATTATTCTACAACGACCGGGTTTACCTTTGCTTTGGGACCGAATAAGCTCAATAAAAAGTAGATGAACGCCTCGATAAGAACCCTTCGGATTTAGCCTTTCGAGTTATTTCTGTCTATATCTCCTCTGGCTTAACAATCTTTAACATCAGAGTTTGTAAAATAGATGTCAACTACCTTTATTCAATCCTCTCTATGGCATACTTTCACAGACCCTTTCTTAGCTACCTGCTTTGAACAGAAACGTTGTGGTAAATTCCATAGTCTAGAGAAAGCAGATAATTCATAAATTATTGTCTGTAATTCAGCTAATGCCAGAAATTTATTAAGTAGATCTACTAAGTACTTTTTCATTTTGTCTACTGTTTTTTTTTCTTTATATAACCTGCTACTTAGCAATCTGTTTCTTCCAAACAATAATCTAATATGCTGTCGGATTTTCATCAGTGAATGTATCTCGAGCTGAGACATACACCCAGTGGTGCAATCCTGTTTACTGATTATTTTCATTCAAAATAGATTTTAATCTGCTTTATGGTCAGCAGATTTTAATCTGCTTTATGGTCATTATCATAAGTAGATAATAGATGTATTTACAGGATATAAAGTAGTATTATATTTAATACGGACAATTGATGACGAACTGACGGACTGATGTCCACGCGTCTGGTGGATGAGAGGCATGTGTAAGGATTTAAAAAGTATAATGTTTAACAAAAAAAACCGACTTCAATCAGGAAATTAAAAACATTGTTATTACCTATAACATTCAATGATGGCCCTCGATTTATCTGGGATGCCATCATCAGATCTGGGTTTCCTTATCATGGTACCACCCTTGGGATATCTCCTTTCCGACAAAAAAAGAATCATAAAAATCGGTTCATAAACCACGAAATTATCCCCGAAGACACATAGAAAAAAATAAAAATATACAGCGTGACGTTACAACCGCGACAATAAATGAACACACGTCTAACGCTACTTGCCAATAATCATAAAAAATATTAACGTTAAAAAAATCCATAATTAAAAAAAAATTTTTCAAACAAACTAATTAAGTAAAAAAGAAACAAAATTTGTAACATCCTATACAACTACAACTGATTCATACATTCAGAGACTTTTTCATTCGTTGCCATAGCGCCGCATTACAAGCCTCTCCTTCTAACAGTATGTTTGGTCTCCTTTAAATTTATTCAACCCATTCATATGCTTTGAACTTTACATTAAAGTTTTATACGTAAGGATGTTCTAAAATTCTTTGTTTTGGAAAATTCGATAACTCGGTAAATATTGATGTTTAAAGAATGTAAATCTTTAATACTATTTTAATAAGTTATTCTCTATATGTGTGTTCATTTATTGTCGCGATGGTAAAGACGCGCTGTATACGGTCGAATTGAGAAACCTCCTTTTTTGAAGTCGGTTAAAAAGTGGTAATATGATGGAATTTTCACACAGAACATTGTCTTGACACGTAATAGAGTATAGCAGTAAGATTGATAGGTAAATAACACAAAATCACCATGCAGGTATTTATACATTCATAATGCAGAAACCAATTTTTTTATTAATATAGATAACGGATGTCCATACTTGCGTTGCGTTTAAATATTGTTCCGCTTTACATTATATATGACATAAAACGAGCATGTAAGTGAATGTGACAGATGAAATGGAAAGAATGTTATGGAAAGAGTATATAGAATTAGCAATCTAATTACACCAATTAGTGTAATTTGAGTGCCTTAGTTTCGGCGCACTAGTGTCAAATCTACCTATTATTTGTGTAATATCATTGGCGGAAACGAAATGTCACAACGAAAGCGTTATCCAAGTTAACTTTCCGTGCCACTGTCAAGTGTAAGGATCTATAAAGTGTTGATACGATGGAATCTTCATACAGAACATTGTCTGTACAAAATATATAACAGAGTACAGCAACCAGGTTGGTAGGTAGATAAAAAAACCTCATAGCAGGCATTTAATCATACAGAATGCAGGAACGAGCACGTGTCACACACAGCAAAGGTGCTGTCTAACTTCTCCTGTAGCTGAACAGAGCCCTGTTTTAAACACGCCACACGTACCCGCCCGCGGGCTTCCTACGCTTTTAATGAATACAAATTACATTTGCAAATGTGCTTAATCCACAAATTAGTTGCGTCCGCCCCTCGCCCCGCTCCCCGTCTTCTCAACCCCTGCAACGGCGAGCGCTCTTTGTTTTCCCGTCCAAT